GAGGCGTTTACCAAACAGACACAGTGCCACCTAGCGGCGACCGTCGGGAAGACTGGAAGTAAACACCTCAAGCAGAAGATTTCTGGGTTTATTCATTCCCAAAACAGTTTTAGATTTAAAAATAAACGAAAATGCTAGATTTGAAAGTGCAAGAAACCTTAACAAGTCAAGAAAATCTGTTTTGGCTCATAAATAATGTTAAATAATGCATCTTTAATTTTAAATAATGTTTCCTCTGTGGTGAAATGTAAAGCTATTGTCACAAAATCAAGAATTAAGGCAATTTAATGCAAAAGAAAAGTGAAACACACATTCATACTGGTTTAGGGTTTCCTTAACATAAAAAACGTACTTTAGAGTGAAAACAATATCTCCTTTAGAAAAAAAAACACTTTACAGTGTCATTGTGTTTTCAGTCTGTGGAGTCCTGATTAATTTATACATGATGAAATGCAATTCGCAATTAATTCTGGAATTTGCAACTATAATCTCAAACTCTACATGCAGTCACTACAGTCATCTGGTATCAGAGCAAATGGGAGAGGGCTTTGTATGGAAAGGCCGACCCAGAATCCCATCAGGGTGAGGCCTGACGTGATCTTCTTGCCGCCGAGTGGACAGAAGCTCAGAGTGATGAGCCAGGCGTGGAGTAAAGGAGCTGCTAGTCCAGGAGGAAGATAAAAATGCCAGGATGTAGAGATGTGCTACGACTGGTTTTGCTTGTTGTCAGTGTCCCGCATAAAAACTATCCTTCTTTCTTGCTTACCTTCTGTGATAGACCACCTCCATATTTAGACGCCACTTAGCGTCCGAAAAAATTCAGTCAAAACAAGTTGGATGTGTGCATATCACTGTCCGGTTAAGGCCTTTTGAAATTCAAATATCCTTATTAAATCTAATGCAATAAATGATGTCTCCACCACACATAACAGCACAAGAAATTTGAGTTTTGCAACCCGTTGCAGGGAATTATTCCCGATATTGTTCTATTTTACCGACTCCTGCTTACACTATCTTCACTATCTTGTCCAAGACGGAGACATGACAAACCAATGGCAAGTCCCCCTCCCCAGTCGTCCCTAGTGATGATAAATGCAGCCCATAGCGGCTGCTGCCGAGGCCACTTCCTAACAATGAGGAGCCTACAGGCTTTCAAGCACTGTCACATTACCACACTTCTCTGCAGTGATCTAGTACTCAATTTGTCTCTATATTTTACTCAGCTGGACAAGATAGCAGATGTAAGTGTTCTCTTTTCCACTTAATTGAGAGTGTTAAGATTTTTACTCATATAGACGTACATTACAGTAAAAGCTACCCAAAGAGACGGCTCCTTCCCGTGGTGGGGGTACGGCGTCCTGAGCCTTTCCAGTGAGGAGCAGAGGCTCAGTGTGTCCTACGGGCCTGTCACTCAGCTGAGCCATCACAACTCCCCGGGTCAGGGCAGGTTAAGCAGCATCTGTCATTCAGAGAAGCACTATTGTATTTAAAGGTAGGGACGCGGCAGATTTCAACCCCCCCACCCCCCACACACACACACACACAGTAACACCATTTGTCTTCACATCTCTGGCTGAACAACAGGAAAAACTCCGGAGAATCTCCCGAGCTAAATTTGACCCAAGAGTGGAGGATGAGGAAGGACCGATGACATCACCGCCGACCCACATAAGCCAGAAATAACCATCCTGTCCAAGAAAAACCTGCAGCCCCGGAGCAAATCTGTCCACAGGGACGAGTCGCATAGTAAAAAATAAAATAAAATAACTATAAAAAATCATGGTAGCTCCCTAAAATAGAAGGAACTCTCTTCTTGGTGAGTTGTGCTGTGGAAGAGGACTTTGTCCTGTGATGGTTGTGGGGTTTAGGCCCACACAAACGATTGGGGAAAGTTTAATGAAGATTTCAGTTTTGTTTGTGCTTTGCAGCAATCAGCTGGCTATCAAAGAGCAGTTTGAGCTCAGAGAGACTTTTGCTGGCACCATGCCCAGATCTCCTGCTGTTTCAAATCTTGAGTCTCTCTTTCAGATTTATTTGGTCTCTTCATCTGTTGACTAATCTATTTAAAAGTAAGAGGCTCACTCATGACACGTCTCTTCATCTTCTCGGAGAGAAGGACACATGGACGGGTGGATGGATGCATGCCTACAGCAGACTACTGTGAGCTGCCACTTAACAGGAGGTGTGTGGGCGAGTCTGCCCATCTCCCCTTTTAGAAACAGCATTATTTGCGTGTTCAGAGGCAGAAATGACTGGTTTCCTTAAAGAAGGCCCATGTGACCATTCCTCCAAACAATAAAAAAGTCAGCTATCTCGGCCAGCAGACTGGCAGCTTTTCCTGCCGTTTAGCACAGATTCCGCTGTTATTGTGTGACTTTTCTGACCTGCGGGTCACAGAAACTCTGGTCCCCACAGGAGTCACCCATAACTTCACTGAAACAATGTTTGTTTTGTGTTTTGCAGGAGAGAACAGGAGTTCTATCTAAGCTAATCCAAACTATTTGAAACATAAATGTAGAAATGTTATCTTTTTATGTGGGTCTGTTTGTGTTATCAGTACGTCTGAAGTTTATGGAAAATATAATGAAACCACTAGCACGAACAGACTGAACACGGACAGGGCCACTTAAGGACGAGTTTGCCATCTTATCTAAAGGTTTAAAAGCAATCATTTATTTAAATGTACTTAACTGTATTTTCCTGTTTTGAACATCAATTTCCTCACACTTACACACTGTGGCCAATTCTGAGACAAACGGCCGTCCGTGCTCACACTCACTACACAGCTTACTTGGAATAACTTATTATCCAAACATGCATGTTTCTGGACTGATGGGTTTGTTCACAGAACACAGAACCCGTGTTGGTGCTGAACAAACAATAAAACAGTAGATAAACAGAAATTCTCACTGCTGTGAGGGTAACAGTGCTCAGCACCATCCCATCATGCTGCCCCAACACATGGCCCGGAGGCTTTGAATCATCAGCATCCAAATGATACAGACAAAGCTGATCAGTAATTCATTAGAGACACAATTTATTGAAACGATATGCAGACTTAACAAACACAAAGATCTCCAGAAAGAAAAAAGGCATAGTATACCATACATTCACGGCCATGTCCACTGATGTAAAAAGTTAGCTGTTGCTGGAATTAAAATATCAGGATAAGCCCTTACAGTTGCTTTTTGACTTTCTCCACCCTTTGCTGTCTAATCAGGAGCTAAATACCTAATTCAAGTTCTACATAGTTCCTGGACTTATTCTACAACAAAGGTCATTGGTTGTAGAACACCTAACTAAGAACACTGGTCAGATGGTTCCATATACTGGTTCTCTACAACCAACGCTTATCATTCCTGTAGTTGTACAAAGTCCAGATGGCAACTAAATGGAAAAAGATCTACTGTGACCATCTTAAAACACTGACATTCTATGGTCATGTTTCCAAAACGAAAAGATATGGTATGGAGACTCAGTTTTTGTTTTGGTTCACCTGAGAATATCTTATTCTAGGAAAATGCTTCCTTAAACAACCGCCTTCAAGGTTTCCTATGATGCAAACATTGCATTTACCCTCTTTGGACAAACCAACTCTGGAAGAATTATTCTGATTGTCTCAACAGTGACTGACAAGAAAACCATCAGGTCCAATGATACCCATGTCTGGAAAGGACAAAACATCTAAAAAGCAAACCCAAAATTCCTGTCGTGCAATTTAAGGCAATGGACAACAACTAGAACACTCAATTTCAATAGGAATCAGACGATTACACCATGCGTGCTGTGCGCATTTAACACTATCACACACTGCAGGCCGAGGCCACAGCGTCCTGAAGCCTAAAGGGGAACAAGTGTGCTTTAGTGTTGCGAGTTCCAGAGTATTTCATAAGGCAAATCTCTCCAACATCTGATCTGAGGCAGAGATGTTTACCCGCAGGCCTTTGCAGTGACAGAGAACACTAATGCTAACACTTGTATCAAGACAACTGCCATTTAGAAACGGGAGAGGTAGCTGGAGCGATAGCTGGCAGCAGCGCTACGAGACGGGAAGCAGGTAGAAGAATCGTCCAGAGACTAAGGCAAGCGGTGATCGGTGCTGGTGTTGACTGGGCACTGATAAAGCAATTAGAAATCTGTAAACACGACTGGAATGAAGAAGAAGGAGGAGGAGGAGGCAAAGGAGAGCACGTGGCCTTCTGGAAAGTGCCTAACCAGATGAGTGGGACTGGCCTCTGGGGTGCGCTGGGTGAATGTGGCTGGGTTCAGCTTGTGACAGAGGCTGGAGGGGTGTAGCACCATCTGCGGCTGTTTTTCAGTGCAGTTTCTTTTCCTCTGGGAACATCTGTTGAAGAGGAGAACGCTGTGCTGTATGCTATGTGTAAATGTCTTAAGAGGAGTGGGGGTGGGGGGGGGGGGACTGGTGAGAACCGCAACATCCTTTAGGTGCACAAGCTTGCAGGGATCTGCCCAGCAGGAGCTTTTAGCAGAGCAGTCAGCGCAAAGGTATCTACACCTGTGTGTGCCAGAGAAAGAATTCACACGTCCTCATGTGCGTAATGCATGTGTCATACTCATGCCTGTTCTTTTTTTTTCAGTTTTTTTAAGTCGGAACAGCAATGAGAGCGAAAACCTGTCCAGGCTTGATTGTCAGTAATAATAAGATGCAGTGCTTTGGTTAAGGTGGGGTGATGGAGGGAGGATTATAATGGGCCAGGCGCCAAGGGTGTTAGTAATCACTTAATGGGGGCTGTGGCAGGAAGGAACATGAGTATGACAAACTGTCTCGTGCCAGCGAATGCAAACCACTGAGCCATGGTGTGTAAGACCAAGGAGGAGGCAGAGCGAGGTCATACAAGACATCACCTGCGCAGGAATGCGTTTGGGTCAAAGACCAGATGATTTGAGATAAAATACAAAAAAGGAAATATTTGGTCAAACACCTGCGAAAGTGGAATCAAGCCGATTCACTATAATTATTTTTTTTAACATACTGATCTATACTGCAGGCGGCTCCATTGGATCTTTTCTGAAGTCTAAGTCACACATGATCATGATAGCTGGCCATTCTCTGCTCAGGAGATCAAAATTAACCCGAGTCTTATCAGCTAGGATCGTGTTAGTTTCTAGAAATCAATTCCTCAATAGGTAGAATGTCTATGATTGGGGTCAAGTCAGGGATCTGCTCTATTGATCGCAGGCTGCAGTGCTCCCTCCTCCACAGCCGGAATCAGTTAAAGTAAAAGATGTCATCAATGAAGCCTGTTCTTTTTTCTTTCTTTTTTAAGTGGGCTCCATCGCTGCTCATTGTGTGGGTTTAAAATCCTGCGTCTTTTCATTCATCTGCAGCACTGGTTCCCCGTACATCTCCCTGTTTTCGAAGCTAAAGAGAGAGAGAGAGAAAAAAAAAAGAAAAAAGTTAGACTTATTTAAACTGATGACGAGCTATCCAACATTCAGGTGAAAAGTGAGCATTTCTGACAAATATTTGGACTTATAAAACACCTTTGCCATTACAAACTTAAAAAACTGCCTTTAACCCACTGAAATTTCTAGTTCCTTACAAATCAGAGTGAACAGTCCTTATTGAGTCTCCCGTTTGTGTCCTGGGTAGATAAAAGCATCGCTTTCAAATTCTCCCATCCTAAAGCCGATGACTTTGGAAAGTCAATTAGTGTTAGAATCTGATAGCCAAACACCTTAAATGAAACCGTTTCAAACTAACACTGGGTCTAAACAGAGGAATAGACAGATCTGATGAAATGGCATGAGGATTTACCCTCTCTCTTCTCCACCTCCCCCTCCTCCTCCCCCTTTTCTCCCTCAATCACAGGCCAGACTCCTCCACGGCAGAATTCCATTTGTATGTTAATGAGCAAAAAGGAGTCATCCTGAAGCAGCCCAGCACACCCTCACCCTTCCCTCCTCTCATACCTCCCCCTTCTACACCAACAGCTCTGGACCACTCTACGCATGTCTGCTGCTGGTTGTGTCTTTAGGGTACAGTTTATGTACCGTCTTAAACCCTACTAACCATCCCACATCACCAAAAAACAGTCCAAGTGTGACCCTGCTAACCCTTGAGCTTGAAGGTATAGGCCTCAGCCGGCCTCCTCACCACAGCGCTCTTTAATGGTACCGGCCTGTTTACTTACTCCAAGGGAAAATGGGAAACACATGCTGATTTGGGCGAGATGTTCTGAGGGGGAAGGCAAAGCAGAGAAACGCTGGATGTTGGTTGTAAGCCAGGAATGTTTGAGACTGGCCCTCTTTGGCCAGTCTGGTCCAGATTCCTCCCTTGTTCGCCATGTACGGCCAAAAGCTTGGAGACTGATATTTGGAATAGCTCCAAAAGCAAAGCCGTGGTAAGGTTTTACAGAGAATGAGAGGCGAAGAATTCAGAGCAAGTGATTTAGAAAATAACCGTTTTTCTTCCCTGCCTTATATTCCTTTATGGGAAAGCTATGGGCTCTGAGTTCTGAGGACGGTTTTCAGTACTTTTCAAACTACAAGCTACACTGAAGAAATAACATTTTGAAATGGCATAAATGCACACACACACAAGCCCAGAAAAGTACAAGCAATGATAGGACTAACCTAGCACATTGATCACATTTTGGTGTAACAGATCCATTCAGACTGAAAGCCTCTCACCACACTGTGAAGTACAGGGTGCACGGAACGACAGACAGACCCCAGAGTGAGCAGAGGAAAGCATGTGAAGGGCTTCTTTTTCCCCCACTGCGGACTTTGGTTAGTTGCACCGTGCCACAAACGGCCACAACCAGCCGAACCATGCTAATTCGCCGCGAGCGCTTTTCCACTCCGTCCCACAGAGACTCAGTGGTGTGTGCATACGGCTCTGTTCCGCAGACTGTGAGAAACACATCCTCCAAGACTTCTTCACAGCTAAAGCGTCCCACCGTTTTGGCAGTGGGAACTTTCAAAGTGAAGTGGCATTAGCAGAGAACTGTTAAGACTGTGTGAGCTGAGATTTATCACAGCGCTGATGTATTTAAGGAGGGGAGGAAAAAAAAACTGCGACAATAAAATACGCTTGATATGTGTGGACAAGGTTTCAAGAGCACAACTCCACTCCAAGTAATCAAAACACAGCGGTGAGGTTACGGCACAACTAACCTGAGCCAGGTGAGTGGAAAGGCCCTTTAAAAGACTGCATTGACTGCACAGTAATAACTTACACAGCGACACACAGACCTAAACGTGGCCTGGCTACTCCTCTGCCGCTTTTGTACCTCGCACAGAACCCTTTTTAAGCATCTGGACAAAAAGTAATCAAATCACAGAGATGGGGTTAAAACGCTTATGGAATAATACAGAATTAGGCAACCACAGACAAAATAAATAAATAAATGGTCTACACAATAATTAAGAGGACATTCATTATCAAACGTTCATGAAGTACTCACAACCAACTCATATTCATGTTTCCCCTTTAACATGAGCATGAGTTTGAAAATCAAGTACAGGGATCCAGTTGTGGGAATAAAAAAACATCTCCAACTCCACTGGGAACCCTTTAACCACTAAATTTACTCCTGCAGTCATTCTGTTTTATCACTGTAGCATGCCTCTGGTCTGTTCAGCCTGTGGAGTGCAGAGTGAATGGAAGACAGCAGCTACACCGGGATAGGACTGGACACTTCTCGGGCTCGGCCAGATATGTCATACATAATAAGTTCTCCCTGTCTTTGCAGTCATTCTGTGCATTAGTTTTACCTTTCGATATGTGCAAACTTTTACACAACACACACCTCATCCAGCTCTCTCTGCGTCTCGGCCTCCATCCGCCGGATATCGTCCATGGTCAGCTCCACCCACTTATCAATCCAACAGAAGAGCTGGCGGTGGAAATTGGTGAAGATCCTCTTCTCTTGCTGGAGGCGGGGGGGTGCATGTTACAGCATTTTAGAGCAGTTTCATGATAATAGATTAAAGTATGTTTGAAAAATATAAAAAGATAAAATACATCTGAAATCCAAGTCAAAACATCGACAAATTTAAAAGAAAACAACAGAAGTCACTTTCGAAATAACAATCTTGCTCCTACAAAATTCTCAGCATGAGCAAGTCACAAACCTCATGGATGAAGTTCTCCACTTTGGTTTGCAGCCCCCACCACTTAAACTTGACTGTGACTAGTTTGTAGGCACACATCCTTGGGCATTCAGTTTTACTCATCAGCTCTTTCTGTTGGAAAAGGAAAAACAATACTTTCAATCATCACTTTTTGAAAAGCACAAAATCAGAATAAAAACACCAGCAAAAACTTTCCTGAGAGATAATGGTTAACACAAGAGGACGGGAAGAAAAAAATAAAGAAAATAGAATACCATTGCAGACTGATCCTGGAGGCACACAAAGCCGAAATTTCATTAATACATAATACTTTGGGTGTGGAGCTTGCTGAAATAATTATCAATACGATCTGCTGTGCACTGATAAAAGTCTTCTAATCTACAACACACTTTCGAAATCCATCCGCAGCCGCTTGCTCTCCGCCTCACAGAGAAGAAGAGAAGAAACGGGAGGAGGAGGGGAGTGGGGGGGTTGGGGCACAGCAAAGTGGATAAACTCCAGATGAAGGGACCATTTCCCTGCCTCCGCCCTGACAGCGACACCGCTCCCGACAGGCATGCCTTTGTGGCCACAGAAGACAGATAAAACGGGGCTCGCGGAGCGATAAGGGCGCCGCAGTGCAAAGCCGGTTACATTATTAACACCCAGGACCTGCTCGCCCCCAGAACACACACACTCTCCCTCCGAGAACACCTGTTTAATTAATCACTTCATTCTGGCTCGGCATTCCAAGAGAAAATGCCACAGACCCCCCCCCTCCTTCCCTCGCCCTCCTCATCCCACCGCCGTTTGATGCTACAATCATGGAGGAGTGCAAGAGAAGGGAAATGAGAAACATTTCTAAATTTGCAGTGGGTTTAGAAAAGTTGTCATCGCTAAAGGAGAACTTCACATGAAACGGATTCTACATCAAAACACTTACGGTGACATTTCTTCTCTCCTTCTCTGTGCCCCGCTCAAAGGAGCAGAAGTTTTCAGAAATACAAAGGGTACCGATATGCAAGCATGTGTGCATGCAGAGATAGACAAGAGTTTTATTGCTCTAAGAAGCAGGCAGAAATTGTGCCTCTGTTGTCACATAACTATCTTTTTTTTCCCCCCACCTTCCATCTTTTTCCATGTCCATGGCGGACAGAAAAGTGATCCAATTAAAAACACAAAATAAGAAATTGCAACTCTTTATTCACACTTTTTAAAAGCGGCCCGGCTGCCTTTGTTCTGGGAACATTCCTGCAGCTCAGGAAAGTTTCCCAGGGTTAACTTTGAGGGCTTCAGCGTGGAGCAGACATGCTCGGCGCTCTGAAGGGAAGAAGGGCCCCGGGTCGTAGAGGGGGGCCCCACAAAACTTACCTGCACCAAAAAAATTAAATAAAAACTGCTGAGACTGATGGACACCAGTAGAGCAATCGCCCAGGTTACAATTTAGTAAAAATAATAATAATAATAAAACATTAAACAATGAAAACTGCTTTTGTTAATTATGTGAGAGTGGATTTGTTTCCATAAGCTCACATTCAGGCATCACACAAAATCAAAAGCTGATGGATTTTCCTTTGAATGTGCAGGAAAATGACTCTCAGCCATGGTAATAAAAGAGACTTGTGGATATTTTTGGCTTTATCGGGTTCTGGCCCTTAAGGGCATGTCAGAGGTCTTGGGGGGGGGGGGGGCAGCACCAGCTCAGCAGGTGGTTCTGAATGCTGTTACATTCATGTTTTGATTGGATGCAGACTGATGAAGTCATCAGCAGAGGGCATTCTTTCAAGTGTTCATTTCATTTTTAGCAAATAATAAAATATATGAACACTTATCTTTTCATTACTTATCTTTCACTGTAGATGTGTTTGTGTTACATCCCTGTTAGTTGTGGTGGGACAGAGCATTAGCTTTTGTCATTGTGTTTTTGTGTGTATACTCTCCCAGCTTAATAATGCAAAGAGACCATTCTCTTTAAAGGCATTGTACTGTGTATATCACATAAGAAGTCATATAGAGCAAAAAAAAAACAACAAAAAGCTGAAGGACAGAGAAGCTCAGGAGGAAAGGTGATCATCCACAATTTGGAGTTTGCCTGGTCCACATGTCTGAGTCTTTTGGGAAGACATTGAGCTCCATGTATCCAACTAATGTGTCCACTGGTGTGTGAATGTGCTGTGTGTTTGCAGAGGGGAAAAAAAGCACATCACATCCTTAACACTGCACAGAAAAGATGTGCAGCATGACCATCTGTAGGTGTGAATGTGGATCGTTGTGTAAAAGCACTGTGAGTGCTCTAACATTTCCTGTGTCTGTAGAAACCCTCTGCAAGACCATCCCAAGTCCATTTAGCTGCACCCCACCAAATTCGTTTTTAGTGTCAGAAATCTTTTAGAAAAAGCCCAAAAAACAGGTAAAGCTGTATTTTCAACTGTTGTGTTTTGTTCTTTCTCCAAATGTTGTTTTGTAATTTTTCCAAACCAAGGAACTGAAGCCTGGAGCTTTCTCAAAGCTGCCAAAGGCTCATCTGTATGGATGACAATGGGCTTGAAACGAATATCCAGATGTTCTGCATATATTTTTTAGCAAAACTTTAAAAATGGTTTAAACGACCATGAAGAACCGCGTAAAATTACAGATCCCATAAAATAAATACATAAACTGATATCCAATCAACACTACAGGAAATTAATGTCTATTAGAAAACTATTATCAGCAGAGCCCCATAAACTGCACTAATAAGACATTTAAAACCTGAATCCACTTCTAGACAACACTCCAACTATAAAGCCATCTTCATATTTAAGTATTTCATGTCCAAAAAGAAGTAAGAGAAGTAGGCTGACGTGCTAGCAAGAAGCCTCCTCTGCTCTGATTGGTTAGACACCATTTATCCATTTACGCAGGACACTTTCTGAGGTGTGAATAACAGGCTGAGAAATGGCACCCTTATGTATGTTTGTATGTACTTAGCTATTAGATTAGTTTTAAGACGAGTCGCCAATTGGATCATATATCGAACATTTGTGCCCAGTGCAAAAGATGCCAAGTGGAAACTGTGAAATCTGAAGATTAAACTGAAGATACTTGACAGGAGTGGCCTGAGCTTATGTTCACATTTTTTGTTTTTGTGCAAAAACTTTGCGTTCCTATAAGGTTCCAGCCAAAGCCCTTAATCAGCCCACTCTAATGCATCAGATATTCAGGTATATAGGGGAAAAAACATTGCATTTTTCTTTTTGTTTGTTTCTCCAACCTATGTTTTCAAACATTTCAAAAGTCATCATTTTCTGTGACCATGATACTTCAGCCTTCATTGCTTAAAGTGGTAGTACCTTCCAGGACGGCCCAAGCGGTCCTCTGCCGGTTTTAACAGACTTGAACTTGGCAGGATCCTCATCTGGCTTATAGTCCTGTTAAGAAACAACAAAAAAAACAATTAATACAGATCAAAACATTTTCCTAAGACAGACATTAACAGTCCACTACTGAGTTCAGATACTGTAAAGCCATCCTATTCAGCAATTTTAGGGAATATTGGCTACAAATAAAACATCTTAATTACTTTTTCCCCAAAACAATTAAATTTTTACCAATTTTTTTACGAACTAGTCAAAGATGATAAGGCTGCACTGAACCACGTCTGGACCAACGCTCGGCACAATGTTGAATTTCATCAACATCTGGATAATTACTGGGACTTGTATCTACGTCCTGCTTGTATATGTTCTTTACATTAGGCATTTGTTTTTTTCCAAGTTTCAAATGTAACAGCACTTCTCACCTTGCAGTTCATACAGTGCCCTGCAGAAGCCTCTCCCATTAATTAACCACTTACAGCCCATTATGCAAGAGGCTCTTGGTCCCAGTATGAAAAGACTTACGGATAGTAAGACACTGAGTACACAGGCAAAAAAAAGAAACATGACAAAGCTGACCTCATAAAATAAGGCGAGAAAAAAAAAAAAACTGTAATACAAATGTATGAAACTGCTTTCAAATTATCTACAGCTCAAGGGCCCAGTAATTTTAAATAAATCATGATGTGCCTGCAGCTAAAAGCTACTTTTTCCAGAGCTACTGACCAACTGGAGGGTGCCAAATATGTGGAAAGAAATGCAAACACTCCCCTGTAACACCACCTCACACACAAACAGCCACAGCGATACGACTCCTTTAATGCTCAGAGCTCCATCGCTATAACAATGCACTGTGCTGCACTAATGAGGTCTGTGAATCGATGGTACAAAAAGAGGCGCAACTCCTCGAGTTAAAAAGCAGTGTGTGTTCGGGTGCAAGTGTGTTTATGTCGTGCGTATTTGTCTGGCTGCAGCGCACGCAGCACTGTGAGCTTTAATTACACTAACAAACTCATCTGTGCTGGCGGTGCGCCCCAGGCCCTGCAGCCATGCCTGAGGCTGAGGGCTGATAGGGCCCTGAGACACAACACACTCCTCCAGCAAGGCAAACATCTCCGCCTCGTTAACTACCCGCAGCAAACAAACACACACAAACCTGGGCTCCTCGGCCAAATAGCCACACGGCTAATTGCGTGCAGAGAGCCACGCTGATATGAGGCAATGGGATGTCAAATAACAGCAATAATGTGTAACATCTTCAGATAAGATTTCAGAGATTGATGAAAAATTAAAAGCTGACTTTTATTCTTCGCATTTAAAAAATAACAGTGTTTGAGCGTTCAAGGATTTTAAGAAATGAATTATTCTAATGAATGTGATCCAAAACAATCATCCAATATATCATTCACTGGAAGAATTAATTGAGCATATGTAAGACATGCACACTCACTGTTTATTGGTCTTTGATAATTTTTTTCTGTTTTGTGTCACAATACATTTACCACCTTTCGGTTTTTTGCAATAAAAAAAACAACAACCTCAAATTGTAATAGTTTTCTTGATAGAGCTGGTAATTCATCAAGTGAGTAATAACTTATAGCTGTATTACAACCTTTATTAATACTATCATCATTAACCTTTGTCTGTTTTTATTGTTAATGGATTGAGTAAATGTAAGGCTAATGTGCTGTAATGATCCCCTTTGTCCACATGGAGGCTCCAAAGTGAACAGGAAGAACTTTTACTTACGGCAGCAGACACTTGACTTCTGTCGGCGATGTCAATAGGCACAACAGTTACATTCTGCCATGTGGAACCATCGAGTTTGTGCACCTGAAGTAAGGAGAGAAAATGTGTCACTAGAGCAGATTCATTCAAATGAAGTAATCATATGAGAGCTTTCCTCAGGGCACCACACGAGTACTCACGTTTTCCTGTGTGCCCAGGTCTGGTTTGTGCCAAGTCTCAATTTTAATGAAGAAATTGTCTTTCATATATTCATTCTATAAAAAGGATGAAGATACAAAAAGTGGATACACTAAATACTTGTTCCTAAGCATTCCAAGTATGTTTACAATTTAGGACAGAACTTGATGTAACATACCGTCACAACTGGATAAAGGTTAAACATGTGGAGAAAAGGAGAGGGCAAACACGCATAGTTATAAGGTTTTTAAAGACACATGGATGCTGCACAGACTAAAATCCACAAGCAGTAAATACATGTGGGGAGCAGAAAGAGGGAGAGGTGGTTTCAGGACAGAGCTAGACTCACTGGTTCGGCAGTAGGGGTAGGCATTCCAGGCTTTTTCATGGAATACCAGGGAACCCTCAGGGGCGAAGAGTTTGACAAACCCCGGGACTTTACTGAAGGGGGGGTGCAGGGGAGGAAAAGGCAGAGAAAGGGAGAAAGAAAACAAACTTCAGGGACGCTTCAGTTAACAGTGGTTCCTAAAGGGAAGGGTAGCAGGGAGGCATAAAGTCTCATTCAGTGCTTCACGGACGGGGCAACACTGCCACTGCCTGGTAAAATAGTCAAACTACACTAATATTTGTGGCAACGACCTAAAAGGAAAAGTGTTTACCTCTTTAGATGGTAGATTTTGTGTGTGTACTGTCCTTTCTCCCCGTCCTTCTCATAGGGTTCATTCTTGAGTACCTCGATGCCTTCACCACCTCCCGTCTCATTCTTACTTGCTTCAGCAACAGAGAACAGCTGCCCAACTTGATACTGTAACATACATCAGAAGGTAGTTAGAAATACAGAGAAAGCTGCTGCAGAGGTCGCACCATTTTCAGATAATTTAATGGGATGGTTTACTAAAATGTGTGCTCCTTTGTACCATTTTTCAGGCTTGTGAGCACTTAGACTACAGAAATCAGAGCAAGCAAGTGGCATTCTGTTAAAGACATGAAGCAAATATATCTGAACAACCAGTGGGATTCTTCACCCATATGCTGGGAGGCACAACAAACATGACTTTTAAAGTATTAGATGTAAACTGCTACTTGAACTGTAAACTGGCAGTTCCTCAAACTCTAAACAGAGGACCTAAAATAAGCCCTTTATTAACTCCTTCAGTGTTAAAAATACTGGACCATCCTTCATGAAAGAAAGGGGACAAATGACAGGACAGTGAGCGTTTAGCTGCCTTTTCTTTCATTGTCATTCACAAGACTACTTAATTCAATTGTATCTTCCAGTATCATAATGATTTTCAGTAGTTCAACATAGCCTCAGTAACAACGCATTAAAAAATGTGCAGATATATTTCTGTAACATACATATTTCTGGACAGCTATAGTTTCATTATGAAAAACAAGTCACAACTGAGCAGAAGAGTGTTTGGATCGTTGTTGCAAAAGGTTTGCAGCAACATGTTTTACAAAACAAACCAAACACTTAGCAACCTTCTATGGCATTTATGGAATCTAAATAATCCTTTAAGACTACAAATGAGGACACAAACACTGGCATTGACATACTCTAATCATTGCAATTGTGAAACGAAAAATGATTACTCACCTCTTCAACACTACAGGGTAAAACCACACGACTGCAAAAGAGAGAAAAGTGTGGTGAACTAATTGCACTTTGTTTTTAAAAAGAACTTCTCAGTATCGAACAATTTTCCAGAACACTTAATTTCTATGTTGCCAACAGAGTGCGTCTGTAGGTTTAGCATGTGGCATTTTAAAAGCAGATCACATGGTCCACAGCAGAAGCAGACAACTTTGCAAACGGCACAAGCAACATTTTTGCAAAGCCTCTAAAAGCTATGTATCATTTATAGAGCTCCCATAGAGCTTTACAATAAATAGCTTGGAGCCATACTCTGCCCTCCTGTGTAATCAATAATAAAAAAAAGAATAGAAAATGAGAAAAGCCCCTAACTCACATCAGAGCTAGAATGGTACAGATTTGGGTGCAAACAACCCCTCATAATAAACAGAGCTGTACTGCTGGATCAGGAATAAGCTGGTAAAGCTTACACTTGGCTAAAAAGAAGAATGAAAAGTTGTACACCCCGGGCAAAAATGAGAGACCAGGATGTTTTCTTATTGTTTGGTGAGGTAAACATGAACACAGACATGGCAAACAGCAATATTATCCGGTTGTCGAAAACTCAACTGAAAAATCTTTACAACAATCAACCTTTTGTTTTGTAATAAACCACATTTTGTTTTGTGACTACAATTTCTATAACTGTATCAAAAAAGCTCAATATTAAAATGTCCTAAAACATTTTTTTAAAAACCAGAACGTTCAGCTAATAAATAAACTGAAGAGTTCTAGATTATGTCTGTCTTGTGTTCATCTGTGAACATGATAAAAAAATAAATAAAAAAGAATTAGTATCCCCTAATTCGCCCCCCCCCCCCCCCCCCCCCCCCCAACACCTGGGTTTTGTTATATTATAAGTCATACATACTGCATAAAGGCATTGCATCATTTGCGGCGATGACCAAAACCACTGACTACATGGTAAAAACTGAGTAGAGGAAAGGGGAAGTTCTGCATAGCATAAATCTGAAGCAATGCCAGGTTCCAGCCTAATGCAGGCCGAGTGCAGCTTTTTTGTCGTGTTCAGTTTAAGTTTGATGAACAGCGTCATCAAATGACTGCATGTTTTAACATCATCTTTGGGCCACTGGGGCACATGAAGTGTGAATCTCATATCAGTATTATCTATTAATTGTCTACCATCTTTAAAAGAACTGAGTTGGTTAACCCGGTAACGAATGAAAAAGTCAATAAAAACTCTCTCAAAAGTGCAAAGGAAATAATCTTGACAAGGACGAGGAGAACTGGGGTGGACTATTCTCACTAGTGAGGTGCATGAATGAGTAAATGAAAGTGAAAGTCATTTCAGCCTTTGGAAGCAGGATGCATTCTTCCTGAGATCTCTACTCTTCTCATTTTTCTAAATCACATGACAAGGGGCTGGAAAATAGATTTGCCGCTAATTAGGTGTATTTCATACTGCCAACATTAACATGGACTAAGTGACAAAAAAAAAACTGTTAGAGGAAAATATTGGAGAATCATCACAAATAGGGCTCTTGAATAAAAGCACTCCATCCACTTTATCAAACTATGAAAAATATCATGTCATCTAATAATGATGCAGCTGTGGATTTTATTGTTTCATGCAAATGATTAGGTCTTAAATAGTTCCCTTGCATGGTGAAATATCAGATGTATTTTGAAGGTCCTGTTAACCTTTCGTGATTAAAGCAAAAAGTTTGTCATCTGGGTGTACTGATGAGGCCAAAGTATTCATTTTAGCAAAAACACAAATGACAGCAGCATCCAAAAGAAGTACATCAGAGGATCAGTGGCTCTAGGATTTTAACAGAAAACAAAGCAGGAGCCCATTGTTTAGTCATGGATTATAACCTGAATGGGTTTGTTGTTTTTGAAGCTCCTTTTCGTTAACCTGGTCGCTTCCGTCTCTCCGACACCAGGGAACACTCGCAGGACTTAAATGTGCCGTTTCCGTAGTGATTAAATGTTTTTGGGAGCAAAAACATGCCAAAACGACAGTGCCTCCACGGTAAACTGTGCAAGGCAGAGTAGTGGGTTTAAGATACTGCTCATTTCAACCTTTGTAAATCAAACATAAGCACTTAGCTTATCTATACCTGACGTTGCGTTAGATAAACTCCTGGCGAGAGGACGAGAAAAACTCATTTTGTCACGATACAGAATCTAACAATAACTAGCCAAACCAGTCATCAGCTCGAGTTGTAACGGGTTAGTGTCACCGTTGCGAGGATAACAGTAACGTTAGGTGATTTCCCTATTCAGGTAACGCTTCAAATGAGCTAACGCAGCGTTAGCAAATGTTTTCAAGTGCACCGTTTTAATAGCTGGCAACCGCAAGTGTTGGCACACTTAGCACAGACACATTGCAAAATCCTAGGTTTAAAAAGCCAGTTACTTTTTGCATTCACACAGGGGGGGGGGGAAAGACAGAAAAAAGACAGCTGTCAGACATTGCCATGCCGCTGTCAAAGCCGGTAGGCCAGAACAACTCTTAAGCAATTCCACCCTTCCCTCGTGTGGCGCCGACAGAAGATGAAAAGTTTTCGTTCGGGTCCTCAAACTGAAAAAAGCGGTTCCGGGTAGCTCAACAGTGTGCTGGCAATATCACCGTTTCCAAGTGGGTACAAAACTACCTTTTTAAAAGGAGAAAAAACAAACTTACTACTCTTTGATGAGAACCATCTTTACTTCTTCCTCTCAGTTCTGCTGGCACTGCCCAGCGACCGCTGATATTGCTGACGTCACAGGCTAAGAGTCAAGAATGTCCCCGCCCACTTGAGCGCTGATTTGCAGAAGAAGAAGAGACGCACCCACCAATTAAAACGATGCACTGAAATGTATTGGACAGCTCCAAGCTTTTTTATTGAACGCCTTCTTTTACTGAACGTAGCCTTGTAAAAGTTTGATTTACAAATCCAAAACAGATATAACTTTATGCAGCTCATTCCGTCCATGTGGTCGTCTGTCCATTAATTCATCTAAATAATATTAAGCCAGAAGTACAAGAAAGTAAACGTGATGTTTTTATTGAAACTGTTTACTGATAAATGACAGATGGTTGTTGTGAAACGTTCCGTTTATCTCAAAAAATCATGGGCTACAAATTCATACATGGTTCTTAACACTGAATAGCAAGAGAATTCATGCTTCAGAGCAGACACTTAATTCACAAAGAAATCAGGCAAAATGCCCTTTTGATTTCAATAAAAAATATTAATCTTTTTTTCCATTCAATCCATCTTTACACGGTACAGGTTTGTTCACTTTAATCATATAAAAAAGCTTAATACTGATTGTGAAACACAAATTAATTTACAAAACATGATAATAATTATAATATTAACAAACAATAATAACAATATCAATTTAATTTTAAAACAAAAATAGAATGGAGGATATCAGTCATAACTGTTGCATCTTGGCCCTCGTAAACTGCAAAGTTTTTGGGAACAAAAAAACAAAAACAAATGGCATTTACATTTACCTGACACACAGTAACAGACAAACACAGTATCAGGTCGTTGAGTATTTCTCATTGCCATTTACAGTGTTATGGGCACAAAGACAAGACAGTCTCTAAATCATTCATGTGCCTCTGCAGGAACACACTCACTAGCCAAAGAAATCCTTCTATCAGTCAAGTTGGAGAACCAAGTGGTCCTGAAAAAGTGCCCTACTCCTCCAGCACTCAGGAAAGTACATTATAAACACAATTATAGGACCATTTTGCATCTTTTAGCATTTAGAAGAAGGGAAAAATCGTCCAGGTGACAAAAACTTGTATCCATTGCCAGCAGGTAGTCGAATAGAACGAGCACCAGGGCTACTGCTTGTGGAAATTGTGGGTGATGGGGTCACTTTTCTAGAGTTGGAGCAGTGGTGTCCATTGGAAGAGTTCTTGCTGCCCCTATCCAGTGACTGCAGCCCCAGCTCCCGCAGCTCCAGGCTGTCTTGGGCATCGTTAGGGGAGCAGTGGCGTGGAGAAAGGTTCAGAAGGCTCAATACATCTCTACTGGCAGTAGCAAGAGGTCCCGGAGCGCCGTGGATGGCCCTGACAGGACCGAGATGTTGCTGTTGTTGAGCTGCAGCATTGGCCCAGAAGGTCTTCAGATTGTGGATAGCTTGAACTTTTTCATCAATCACTCCTCTTCGTAGCCTGTCCAAATCTGGTGCATCAGCTGATGTGGAACAGGCGGAGCCTGTAGAGGAGTAAGACAGAGCAGGGGATGGAGCGCTACCAGCAGGGGACTGGTGACCAGAACTAGGTGAAACATTGCTTGGGGAACGAGAGATGTGGCCGCTGTATGGGGAGCTTGGGTATTTCAGTTTGAACTGGGCGTGGCTGTCCAGAGTGGGTGAAGGGTGGCTGCCGTCCTTTTGGGAAGACTCGGAGACTGCAGGACTATTGTATCCAGAACTTATCTTCTGTAAAGAAGAAGAACGGGAGGGAGGTTTGGGCTTTGGGGAGGACTGACCTCGTCCACTAGCGCTGCTGTTTGGACGGCTGAATGCACTGGTTTCAGAGGAGCGAAATGTGCTGCTCCGAGCTGAGGTCCCACCGGCTGTCCCACCCTCTGCCCCAGCGCGCTGAAGACTACCCACAGCACGCAAGTGGCTGTGGGTTTCCTCCAGAATCTTCTGGGCTAGCTCTTGAGGATCAAGAGGGGCAGTTTTTTCTTCCTGAGACTTGACAGTGCTGTCTGTCTCAGTACTGGACTGGTCAGATTCTCCTGTATCTGAGCTGCTCACTTTACCTACTTTCTGGAATGGGGAGTTGGGGCTTGGGACCAGGGATGTTTTGACGGGAGACGTGGGCGTGCTGACACTGCCCCTCGATGAAACGGAGACTGTGTAGCCTCTTCCGGCCCCTGTGCTGGATCCACCCACCCCTCTGCCTCCGCGGTGGTGTCGCTGGCCGTGGCCTGGTGGTAAAGGCAGAGAGTCACAGTGGCTTCCCAGTGGCTCGCTGCTGATAATGGAAAAGCCTTCATATTCCTCTTCATCCCCTCGTGCTCCGGGCACTGCAGCAGCTGCCCCGTGAGGCGATGAACGACTACGAGGAACATGATGATGTTTGTGGATCGAATAGTGTGCCGTGGCCCCGCCACGCTGCCGGTGACTGAGGAAATCACAATCTGACTTGGAAGCAAAGCTCATGGAAGAGGCCACGGAGCTGAGACTATAGACAGAAATGGCATCTGATGCTTGATTGTCCAGGCAAGGAGGGGAGAAAGGAAGGCTCGAGTACCCAATGGGCAATGGGTTAGATACAGACTGAGCTGAAGCCAAAGATTCCAGGGAGGATGAGCTGTCAAGGCTCAGCCGCTTGGGCAGTTCTGTGGAGTCTAAAAACAAAGAGGGGTGGAACGAATTAAATGTGAAGCACGATTAAAGCAGCATACTTGTTCAAATGTGCCATCAATATTCTGGATACAGTAACCAGGGAGTTAAATGTAGGTCAAAATATAGGTAGTTCTAAATATATTTTTATTAAAAATACAATACGTTTCAGGAAATAATAAGGATTTTACCAAACAGTGCCAGCAGAGACTGTAGAGCAAAGTGCAGGGTGCGCCGGTTAGCCATCTTGCCTGTCTTCAGCACCACTTCTTCTTGGCCTACTTCACATAGGTCAAATCCTGCAGATACGACCAGTTGTAACTCATGATGATATTCACAGTAGTTGGTAAAGGGATAGAGGGAGGTGCAGATAAAATCCCCATTTTCCTTTCTAACTTACCAAGGGCCGCCAGAAACTCATGGCAACCTGGCAGTCTCCACAGCTGTACACTGATGGACACCTGAATGGGGAGGAGGGAGAAATCCTGCTCCTTGTCTCCTGTCTGGAGCTGAACTAGCACCTGGTGGAGCTATACAAGACAAGAGGAGAAGAACAGTACAAGCCAGAGAATTAATATAACTGTGAGAATAAACAACTACTATTCATTCAAGAACTAACATAAAATAAGTAAAAAGTTGTGTAGTTAATTTTTTCCACGTATTGATTACATTTTTTCTTAACTTAGTTCCCTTGTATATAAAAAACACTTTCTAAAGTGGGGGTATCGACAAAACATTTTGGGTTGTATGTCACAATCTGCACATTTGCACATTTTGAGCTAAATGCAAAAGTAAGGCAAAGAAAAAAAAAACAGCTGCTGGGATCCAGAACCAAAAGGGTTGGAGATTTGTGGGGATGTAAACTTGGCTTGGGAAAACACTTGCCTGTTTTGTTTGGGGATTACATAGTTTGGAACAAAAGCGTCTTTGTCAATTTGGCTTAACTGTGAAAAAAGTGAAAACGTGCCTCCTCAAACTCACGGTGGTGAAAGGGAAGAAAGAACATAATCATAGTTTATTCTTTCCACTATTTTGAAACCTGAAATGAACCCCGGCTATTAATCCTTTAAACATTTGAAACCCCCACTATCTGCCTTTGGTAATGAACCCTGGAAAATTGTTTGGCAATACAATGGCAAAAGGTAAACATCACGTTAGCACATATATACTAACGCACAGAAACTGAAATACATAAAAATGATACAAAACCTCCATGCAGTCACCACAGCAGAGGGTGCTGAATTTCAATTTAAAGAGAAGTAATAAAAAACACAGGAAAATGGAGAACGGAGAAGAGTAAGATGGACTGCAGGAAAGTGAATGCACACTTACCATTGCCACCATATTTTTTACAGCCTTCAGATCGCATGTTAGGTGCAGGAGAGAGAGAAAAGGTTTTTAATTGCATGCACACAAGCCATAAAGAAAGGTTGCAAAGGGTTAAATTCAGTACGAAGAGTAACAGCAGAAAGTAACAAGAGTGTTTATATGTGGTAGAGTGTGTATGAGCATGTTTTTATGTTCTATGCGCTTAAAACCGCCAATCATCACCTAACAGTCTTTCACCCTAAGCATGTGATTGTCACGTGTTACACATGTACTGGACAAAATCTCAGGAGCCCCAGATTAAGATTCTCTGATGTCACAAGCTCAAGTGCATGAAAACAAGACTTCCATTGTCAGTAAGGCTTCGTACAGGAAGCAAAGCTAGCCAGGCTTCAATGCAGCGTTTCAAAGCAGATTAAGATGCAACATGTTGCTACTGTATGAGACAAATGACTGGACTCTGAACAACAAATTTAATGTAGTGCACTAGATTTCAATCTCAAGCAGCCCTTGTGTAAAGCCGTCGTGGCCTACCCGATTGATGAGCTGCTCCCCTGCCTCTGAAGCTGTGATGAGTTTGCACAAAGCTTGGAGCGCTGGGGGTGGCAGACCTAAGGAAAGATATTGGAAAAAGTTTATTATAATTTCATATATACAAATTTCATATATACAAAAGAGCAGCATTAAACAGTGCGTAGTTGGGATGAGACGGTACGATTTACAGGAGTTTTAATTACTTCAGAGTCAAATCTTTATCCATTGTGCAGTGAGGTGAGTGACTGGTCATGAATTTATTCTTCAACATAGAAAACTCCACACACATAACTAGAGATCTTTGATGGTAAAGATATCAAGAAATCGTGCATAGTTCGAACTGATTCCTGATTCAAACATAGTCAGTCAGTTATGAAAAGAGGAAGGGTTCGATTCTCCAAAAATTTAGGAGAATCTAATGACATGTCTACAGTAAGCGTACTCAGGAAAACTGTTGTCTTATCAAAAGCGGCGGCCGTTTCAGGTGTTCACTAAGTTGCATACATTTGCATTTGTGTGTGTATTTTTTAAAACACACAAATGCAGCAAAGCACACAACCTTGGATGGATTATAAATCTGTCTGAATAAACTGTGATGTGTAGTTTGTCTCAACATACCCAGTAGGGATTGTAAAGTGGTGCTGCAATGCTGGAGTCTGTCTCCTGGGTCAGCAGTAGGAAAGAAAACGGCTGCAGGGATACCAGTGCCTGCAGAGTCCAGACGGAAGCCTACAGCTGTCAGGAGGGCCTGCCAGCCGGGCACCCCCCCCACCTTGTTCTCCACACTCTGCTGGGAAGTGTACATGGAGTTACGCTGTCCGTTCTGTATCCTCTGAAGAGACTTCTCCACCTGTGAGAAAATGACCGAGTAAGAAACATCCAAATGTTTGGGATTCTTTGAATGTGATGTCTGTAAAGCCAGCTTATGTGTGTGCCCATGTCTTACCAGATGAAGTAAAACTCTCAGAGCATCACGAGCTCGATCTGGATATTGCAGAATCTCAGCCAAAGCTTGGCCAATTAGGGAGGATGGGCTGTTAAGCTTCACATCATTACCAATGAGCATGTATCCTGGAGAAATTGTACAACATTAAAAAAAAACTGTTCCACAGCAAATTTATTGTTTGAAAAATAAAAATACAAATGTGGCATTCACGTATAAATAGAATATATCTCTAACCTGCCCAGTTGGAGGGATGCGAGTACTGCTTGCTACTCTGGACAGTCTTCATAGCATCTGCCAGTGCTGCACTGGCCTTGGTCCCATTGAGCAGGGCAGAGTAGAAGGCATGGACAAAAACCTTTGAGGCTGCAACGGGGACAGGCCACAAGGACACGAGAACACACTGAGCACCAGCAGCCAGGAAGGCTCTGGTCAGTCCCACGACACCATCTGCTGTCACCTTGCTGCTAGACTCTTGGTAGGACCTGTAGTCACAGGACGTGTAGAAATTAATAGGTCAGCATTGTATCTTTTCCTACACTCAGCCCACATTGCAATGTGAATTTCTGTGAGTTCTAGTGCTTCTGATGGCCTACAAATAAGCTCTGAATTCATGATTCATGGTGATCTTTCTAATCATTTCACAAATGACCAATATTTTATTAAACAATCCACTTTGTTTCTTTAAAAGACAACTCATTTCAACATTTTGCAAAAATTCCAATTAGTTTTCTATACATAATTCACCTACCCCAAAACAACCAGCTTGACGGGCAACCTTAGGTCCAGTATGTCTGCAGCAGTAAGAAGGAACTCTTGGAGGGGCGGGCTATCACAGATGCTCTCCACATCGCTGCTGTCATCCTGCATGTGGAGAGACTCGGGGATGGTGTAACCACTTCCAACGGAGCCCTTCCTGCCTCGGCCACCACTGCCCCTCCGCCCGCCTGCTCCTCTGCCTACTGTTCCCACTCCCACGCTGGCACTCGCCCCTCCAGGCACACCCTCGGGGTTTGGGGTGAGCACAAGAGCAGCCAGTTTCCAAGAAATGTGGGTGGCAAAGTGGGCACACTCTGCTTGTGTGAGGGCACTCATCACCCTCTCCTTTGTGGCCGAAGAGCCAGCCAGGGGTTGGCATCCTAGCAGCTCAGCGACCATGAGCGCTTCCTCCTCTGCAGAGGGCATAGGTCCCCACAGCCAGCGGTCCATCACAGGTGAAGGTAGTCTAGGATTTCCTACAACTGCTGCCATTGAGACACCACCACATGAGGCCGTTCCAGGGCGCCGAGAGTGAGTCTAGGAGCACAGCAACAGAGTTTAAGTACACGCACAAAAAAGAGAAGGTCATAAATTATCCAAAAGAAGTACAGTATGAAATTATTCAGAGTAATCTAAAAGAAAAGTTAAACCTTTTGACTAGATCCGAGGCCATGGATGGACGGCACAGCAATGAGGCTGAAGCGTTCGTATAGATACTCATTAGAGGAGCTTCCCTTCAGCAGGGCAAATGGAATGAGGTACAGCTCTCCCTCCAGCACCATCACCAGCTGTCTGTGTCTGCCAACCGGACCGCTGGAATGCATCAAGCCCTGTTATGCAAAAAGGTTATTAAAACACAATAAACACATGTGAAAAAAGAAAGAAAACACATTTTATCTTCTGTCTTTGACAAAACTACAAAAGCAGAAGGGACACCGCTGGCAGAGGTAGGACTCACTCCTTCCATAGGGGCGATGAGCAAATCATAAAGTGCCCGAAGTGGAGGTTTTCCAAGGTTGCTGGAGCGACGAGGCAGGGAAGAGTTCCCGTCTTTGACAGGAGACATGGTGTTACTGAACAGGCTGGTCATACTTTGGCAACTCCTGCACAGATATGACAAAAAAAAGAGGCAGGTTTAGGCCCTATGCATACAACTGTATTTACTGTTAATTGTATGTCTCAGTTTTTTTTTACAATTTTTTTATAGATTGGAAAGGACAGTGAGCTTTTTTCTAATTAAATATCTCATTTCTGATCTAAACTGGCCCAAGTTTAAAGGCAGTTTATTGTGGAACTCTGCTGTGACAAAACTATTGTATTTTAAAGAGATCATGACTTGTCAATATAGAAGACTCCACTAGATGGCAGTATTGGAGTGCTGCACCAGTAAGATTAAAAATGAATCAGAGTAATAGTCATGTCATGAACAGGAGGAGAGCCACTCTGGTCTCATATTTACAGGGGCCTCCTTGTAACTTGTCATCAAACCTCACAGCATAATGGAGGACAGGTACGTGTGCATGTGTATTTAGTGTAAATGATTTTAAGACAATATTTGGAGTACCTTGCACAGACCATGAAAAGATGGTATGTGACAGTCGGACAGAGACACCCAACATGGTGGAAACTGTGCTAATAGTGGCCCTGGGGTTAGAGGGCTTTTGATTTGCCCTATGGCACTAAGCCTTACGCCTGTACTTGTCACTGCTCTCCATCTGTTTCATCAGCCAGAGTTTCCTGCGGACCTTTGCCAAACGACATATATCTCGCCTTTCTGGTAGCCCCGGGCCACAGGCTCCCCTCCAGACTCACAACACCCTGTCTGTCTCCAAGACTCAAGCATGAGCCTCCACGGGAAAGCAAAACAATCGTTTGTTAGCCTGACAGGAAAAAGGCGAAAGGAGGCAAGGAGTGAGCCAAAAGAAGGTGTATGTCAAGTGCAGAGGAAAAGAGAAACAGAATAGACTTAAGAGTAGTGAGGCTGGAGGTGAGGACGGCATTCAGTGACTGCCTAGTTTGGTCTGCAGTTGAAAGACAAATTCCACAGAAAGTCTTTAGACCTAAACAAGACAAATAGGTCAACCTTTTCTGTACACTTTTACTGAGCTTAATGGGAGTCTTATATACTCTTATATAGCAGACGATCTGTTGTGGAAATGTTTACTTCCTCTTTGTAAACAATTTAATCATGAACATTAAATCAAACATCTCATTATGTGATTATTGTGCATAATAACTTACTCAGTTACACAATGATAGGATTAGATGAACAGAGACTTTGAGTATTACCTTCACATAGTAATCCGCTCTGGTTCATTTATCCAGATGAATGTTAAAACCAGGCAAATGACAGATATGTTAATAAACCTATTCTGGTTTAAATTTAAGGTCACTTCGGTGTTATATTCTTATTCCTTCTCTTAATTCTAAGTCATTGTAGCTTAATTTATTGTGAAGAATTTAAATGTTAAAGTTTAATGCGTAGGTGAAAACATTATAGCAGAGGCTGAAGTCAAACAGAACCCCTGAAAAAGCACATACTTTTGATTATCTGACACCAAACCTTAAGATATAAGTCTTTCATCATGGTAATTTCTTTCATATACTCTGGTTAATATTGTGATAGATGACAGGCTCCCAAGGATGTGCCACAAATTCAGAGTTTTTTTTAAGGCCCTTCAGAATGAGAAGATTATTACCAGCAGCCCATTAAATGGGTTTAATGAGCACAGAGACTCAATTAAAGCTGGAATTACCCTCTCATCAAAAAGCTGCTCATCTTTGGACGAAGACAGAGAAATATGACCTATACACACACATCCATGCACAAGCCCGTTCGTATACATTACCAATAAGAGCAATGTGCATGTATACTTTTCAGAGGCAGTACACACCACTCTGAACAGGGAACACACAGACTCACTGAAACCTCATAAATTTGCAAAACTAACACAGACAGAGCAAACACTGGCCCTACTGTGTGTCAAAAGGCATACACACAGTATATGTGCCCACTCACACACTCCACACACAAAGCTCCATCAAAAAGGAGAGTTGATAAGGGTTTTAGCGGCTTGGCTCATTCTTTTTAATAAGGTTCACATGCTGCTTCTGTGGTGTGGAAACAATGGAGGAAAGAGTCCTTTCACAGACAAGCCACAATACCCCTGAATCTCCTTACCCAAGCAGATATTTTTAATCTTCTTTCTTTCTACAGAAGTGGGTCTAAGTCACATTTGGTGATTAAGAGAGCTTCTCGTTAAGAGTACAGAAACTTTCAGGAGATGTGCAATAATCCCCCTACCTGTTGAACAGATTGTTTCTAGACACCATGCGCAGGAAGCCTGTTGGATCGGTGACCGAGTTAAGCTTGTTGTTGAGCTCTTCAAATTGTTGGTCCAGCAAATCTCCGGCTTCACTCTCCGTCTCGCTGCTTGAACACCCCCTGTCAGGGACAGTGAGAGATGCAGTGAGAGACATCCACAGCCCGTCAAATGTTGGCAGGAAAAGGGCACTTGGGTACAGTAGACTATTCAGAGACTGACATTGTTTCTGTAAAGATAAATTAACTGAAGATAAAACTCCATGCACATTTGATCCGCCACAAATACACAATAATCAACCCACACACTTGGCCCAATTTCCCAGCACAGCTAAATCCTTTTATTATAATGCTGGTAATACTGATCTAGTCTAGAGGGAGTCAACCACCCCCACCTCACATTTACTCCTCTTTCATGCTGAAACCTCTCTTTGGCACAGCCATGTCAAGTCAATTTAGGAAGAATTTCTTGTTCTCACGGAAAGACACAGGACTTTGGAACTCTTCTACCAATAACAGTATCGCCCAACATCTTATTCCATCCCTTCAAATTTTAAATCATTCAAGATTCTCCTCGTATGAAGATTATTATGAGACAAAGAAACTACATAAAGAATACAGTGAAACACAGTAACACGTACATTTACTGTTACATTTCAACATCTTCTTTTCCCTTTGTTATAATCTTTCACACACATTTGTTCTATTAATTCTTCTCCATCCCACTCATTTAGTCGCCACTCATTTCAGGGTGCAGGCTCCCTTTGTCTGCACTCCAGATCATGAATGGGCGGGTAAGTGGTGCCATATTGTGCCCATCCAAGCGCAGTGGTGTGTATGCAGCTTCCCATTGGAGTAGTAAATGAGCTGGTAATGGGGCAGGAAGGCCAAGCTGCCAGGGTGGTGGAGACTAGCACTGGGACCAGCTGGGCGCTATGGATCAAAAGCCAACTAGACAAAATGTCAAAAGCTGAGCGGAACCACAGATGTCAGTGGTGATTTTGATGCCCAACACATCTTGCTATTACTTAAATCCCTTCCTCCCCAGTCCTTATGACCATGTTCCTTGTTGTGTGTTAAGTCTTTTTACACCAGCCTCTGGTTCTTTGACTGTTCAGCATTAAGGTATCACCTCATCTCAACCTTCTTTTTCTGATCCTGCCAGTAAACCCTTTTGTCTCTTTACTTCAGCTCCGATGTTTGTCGGGCGGATTCAACTTTTCAAGTGATCCAACGAGCAATTATTCCGACTCATTTATTTCCACTGAGGAGAGAGTAGACTTCTTTAGGTTGGTGGTGAAGTCCTGTCATCCCATTGTGCAGTGGGCCAGAATAACACTTTATACACACAGACACATGATAAAATAACTCTAGGGATGAAAAGTGTTTCGATTGGGTATGCAGCTTACATAGAAAAGCTGTTGTTTCATTTGGTTACCAAGAGCATTGTAAGAAGGACATTAATCTTTGGGATCTGTACTGTGTCAAATTGAGGTTTCTGTCCATATAATGTAAATAGGAATGGTTACTAAGTTACTAAGTTTACATTTAAAGTGTGAAACTATCGAAAATCAGAAGCTTAAACATGCATCATTTATAAAGTGACCTATATAGAAGAGAAAAAGATGTAACATATATGCTATGATATTAATAATAAGCTCATGACAGTAAATATTGATTATTATACTGTACCTGCTATAGTAAGACTCGACTCCCAGAGCCTCACGAGCACTGGCAATGTGTTGCTCCAGTGAGGAGCCGCTGACCACTCCACTGCCGCTTCCCTCTTGAAAGTCTGACACACCCTCTGACACACTCTCACCAAGGTACACCTCATGAAACTTCAGGATGCCTACAAAGAGAGAAAGTGAAAGGAAAACGTGAATGGCTGCCTCCAGTATTTGCCTAGTGAAAGTCTCAAGACAAGTAATTGCAACCATTTCTCAACATCTTTGTCAAAGATGTTTCTATTTCTTGCTTGCGACGGGGGAAATATTGCGTCACTTCAGTTGATTAGTATGGCCACATGTAGCAGTGCAACTGTGAAGTCAAGTGAATGAAACAAACAATATTCAATAAAAGACAAGAGAATTCTGCCTGTGCCATCTGCTACCTGCTGGATGAGTCTCAGTGCAGGAGCTCACTGGGAGATGCAGTACAGGCTGTGTGTATGTATGTGTGTATAAATGCGCTTGTGGGTATGCTAGTGCTACATAAGGATATCCACCCATGTTGGTTTCACAATAAATGCATTTAACTGTACTGAATTTGTGCATCTTGGAATGCAACTGCACACCCATGTCTGAATGGTGCTGAATTTACACAAATGGAGTAATCATGGTTTTAGTCGCCCTTTTTATTAACTGCACTCTGGAGCTGGCGATGTTTATGTGCCAGCTGGGTGCCAAGGAATGCCAGGAAGTGACAGACACAGACGATTAGTGAGCGAGTGACTCCCTCCTTGCCAAGGGTGATATAGAGTGCTTTGAAGAGCCACAGTGGTCCCTCTCGTCTTCTTCCTTCTTGTGGAACTAGTGCCAAGGGGTCATGTTCATCTGGTTGCCTGGGAGCTGGTTTTGATCAAATGCTGAAGCCCTGCGGCACTGGGACATGAATAACGCCTCTCATATAGCAGAGAGCAAAAGGGGGCTAAAGTACAGCTGACAGTATGGCAGGAATTGAAGTCACATGACAAGTATTGTATTTAGCTAAAAGCTTTGTCCTTCACATTGTGAAATAGGAATTTCACCAATGTATGTCTGTAAGTGGGCCGCAGCTTCATCTGTGCATGTGCCTAAAGTGCTACGTGTGTTAAGAGACTGGAATGGAAGTGTTATCCAAAGATTTGTCAGTTGTAGGAAAGCCAGAAGGAGATTAAAATACAAATACAATCAAGGACAGAAAAACAAGAGTGAAGTGAAAAATGCAGATTATTTTTTGACTTGATGCAACAGCAAAACGTTTTCCTGTTGACATGAGGGGAGATGTTCTCCGGGTTGTTTGGCTGTGTCTTAATCTGTGTCACAATCAGTTAGCACGGTTCGTTGGCAAATGATTTCAAGGGTGAAAATCAAAGCAGGGAGGGAGATCTTAGTAGTGGAGTGGCAGGTGGGACTGCCACCTGGTGTCAAAGCTGGTCCTCTTACCTCCTGGTGGCATGAAAATAATCTTCTAGCCTAAAGACACATTTTCCACTTTTATCTGGACAAGCAGGCATTTGCTTGTATTTGTGAACTATGTTGGCTAACACTAAAGCCACTCAAAGGGACACAAAAAATAGATCCAACCGTCATGAATAAAGATGTTGATCAAGATGTCACAGAACATAATATGGTAAATGAGGCAACAATGACAGCGAGGCAGATTTAGCTAAGAGCGTTTCAGCACATTGCACAAAACAGACTCAATCCATTACCTGCTCCTGGTGCCAGCAGCCAGCTGTACAGGTAGCCTGCAGCCATAGAGAAATAGAGTACCAAAGCCCTCTGGCTGTTGACTGTGTCCAAGATGTGCTCCACTGTTACTGGTGTATAGGGGTCTGAGTCCTGCTGGCCTGTTTGCCTCTCCACCAAGAGATCTGCAAACGCTCGTGTGCGACCCCGCTCTGCCACTGCCAAAGCCTCATCGTGGTGGCCTGTGGTGTTCAGAGGTCAACAGTTAATAATTAGATACATTTTGACAGCTAATGCATCATATACAAATAGAGGTGAGAACTGCATGCAGTTGGGATAGGCTCCAGGCCCCTTTAGCCCTTATAAGAATAAGTGGTGTAGATAATGGATGGATGGAACTGCATGACTTAGTGAGTCAAGAAGATATGTTTGTTGGCTCACCAAGGCTGACAAGGACCCTTTGGAGAGCCTGGTAGCAAGAGGTTTGCAGGTCAAACAGTGAAAGCTTATAGTCTGTGCTGTGCTGGGCTTCATGGCGGATGGTCTCAAACAGAGCAGATGCCCGGTAAAGCTGAAACAACACCAGACCAACAGTATATTTAGATGTAAAAAGCAGACAGTTTCAAGGTAACTTTATTTCCCGGCAAGGAGGCCTAGATATTTTGAAAAGTAGCTAATAAATACAATGTGCTATCACAAATAACACCAAAAACAGTATAGTAAACTAATAGGTAAACAATTGTGATGCTGTGAGAGACATGTTGAGTTAAAATGTTAGCCATTTATACAAGAGCACGATCAGGCTTTTCAAAAGAGACGATCCTTGACCACTAGATGGTAGCATCCCACCTCCCATTACCAGATTTCCTTCTGCTTCTACTTCCCTCCCAACCAGATAAAGCACAGTAAAGTATTTTGGTGAGGAACCATCAAAGAAACATAAAACTCCACTCAGCTCCTATTAACTAGAATAAGGATAAGGTAAGGGCAGTGAGAAGCTGAATACTATCTAAAGAAAATGTCTATTTTATTGGACCTTTTCATTCAGTGTTAGACGCTGTACTGAGGAAATAAGGGGACAATGGAGAGGTGGGATGGACAACAATGTTACACGCCAGCCAACCAAAGCTGACCAGGACTGCTGATTCATGTGGGCCATTATTGATTTCCTGTTTTTGCACATATAGCAGCCCTGGAGGATGACTGGGACTGCTACAGAGCCACTCTCCAGGAGTCTGGGGCCAACAGAGAGGGCAAAACACTCACACTGCCTGACCAGAGTCATACGAGACAAAGAGCTGCAGCAGAGAAAAGGTTACTGGTAAAGAATAAATGGATTTTATGTGAACTGTGGCTTTGATTTAAGAAAGAAAGAGACAGTGTCCACATTTCTTGTGAGGACACATATATGTAGCTTCTCTGCGTATATCAAGGTCATGCAGGAAAGTGTGTCAGGATTGAATGAGAGAGAAAAATCCACTGAGTTCTGCTGCATTAGTGATAGAAACAGCGCGACTAGTCTGAGGCTGATTTTGCTGATAAGGCTCTGGGCTGATTGCTGAAGTGCTGGTTCAATCTGTGAGGATTGCAGACATCCCTTTACGAATGAAACTAATTTCTCACGGCGCCTTCCCTCCAGCCTGACCCTTCCTAGCACAGATAAAATAAAAGCACTCCCAAATGTACTGGATCCACAGTGAATTGCTGCTGTGGGGTGCCAGTAAAACCTGCAACACTCTGGCATTGTATATTCAGACTCCTTTTTTTGTCACTCTCAATGACACCAGCATGGTTTTATCTGACATGATAACGTAATGTCAAGTGCCAATTTGGTAGCATGAGCAGAGTTTGATGCACATGTACCTTTATTACTTTTTAAAATGAAATTATCTCTGTGAGGAAGTCTCATTCTTTATGTGAGATGATATCAGATGATACGGCTGCTGATATTCAAGGCAGCATAAATTTATCGATTCATGCTTGCTGAGATATGAATGTGAGTATCTCTCAGAGGGAGCAGGCGCAGCCAAAATAACTGATTAGAATCAGGACGTGTCAATCAGAAAGTTATGGTGAACATGAGGATCACAGCTGAGGTTGTAATTTACACTTAGGCGTACATATATGGAGAATGCAAAGCATGGAGTCAGGTTTTCTCCATGTAACCCTATTTCCACTTTGTACTTTTCAATATATGCTTTAAAAATGTGGTTTTTCTTAATAAAAATGTGGAAGCACATCAGGGTATTTTACAAAGATTGTTTTAAAAAGGTTATTTGCACAAATAGGCTAGGTGACAAGAATCCTTTGATCTCTGCTCGGAGGACAAAGTAGTGAAAGGACTGACAAGCATCCTGTTCCACTGAGGCCTGTGAGCGGACTGGCTAAAAACCTTATTAAAATAGCTGCTGTAAATCCAGGAAAGGAACTGAATCACAGTGGCAACAAGGCCAACCAGACCTTAACGTGGACTCTTGAGGTCTGAGGGTCAAGCAGTAAACTGGGAAGCAAACATGCAGTGGAAAATATGTTGTGTCGGAATAATATTTTGCTTTAATTGAACAGAGATTCCTCAATATGACTCATAACCACTCAGACTCTGCTGCAGTCGCCACCTTGGTTCAATCTTTCTTTCCCAGCTCTTGTTACAGATAATTGCTAACAGACAAAAGTTACTTTCTGAAAAGTATGATACGGGACTAAAAAACAAAAGCTAACTGGGTCACAGAGATGCTAGTCCTGTGTGTGTAGCATAAAAATGTTTTGGACTAGATTTTGAGAATGAAGGCAGCTGGAAAACCTCCCCACAGACACACATGACAGCCACTGCTGTTGGCTGACTGTCATGCTTATGTGTGGATACACAAGCCATGGAATAAAAAATCAAATATTGTGTTTTAGTGTGTGGACAGACTGCAAAGAGAGACGTTAAGTGGTTATTCCATGCTTGCCAGTTGGGCAGTGGGCTGAGGAGGAGTGAACGTGAGGGTGTGATGCGGAGGTTTGGGGCTCCTGAGGCCGTGCACACTGATACAGAAAAATCTTCACTCATCTGTCGCCTGTCTGCTGAGATGACAGCATTTAGCTGCTGCACACACTCTCCAGCATACCGCCAGCCACCATGTTAAAGATCTATAACCACCTCTCCTTTTTTCTCCTCCCCTGTTGTTGTCACTCCTCAGGGCTCTTTTTTCACTGTAAGGTTATTACTGAAAGCTTATTTCCCACTTCTTGCTTGGACATCTATCTCCACCCCTCATTTGTAGGCTTTGCCAACTTCTAAGCCAACAGATGTGAGCTTATTGGAGGTCAGTTTTAACTACAAGGGTTGGATTTGTTGGAAGGAGTCCAGGCTGAAGAGCGGAGATGACATGAGAACTAAGTCAAGGTGACTAAAGGCAAGAGGAGAAAAAGCCTGAGATATTTCACCTGATGTTGGGCCTCCTCCAGATTCCCACTGGCCCACAGAGAGAGCCCCAGACGATGGCGGATCTTAGCCTCGTCCTCACGCCGAGCCAGCTGCTCTGCAAGCCGCAGGCCTGTCAGGGAGGGAGGGAACAGGAGCAGATGAGGGGGGGGGGGCGTAGAGCAAAAATTATTCAGAGCAGACCGACTCTTATGTATCTTTGAGAGTAACAGATGTAAGCATAGCATGGTACTGATGTTCTGACAGCGAACAGATTTGGATATTTGGCCTCAGTTGTAAGAAACGACTTGTGCACTCGGTTTAAAGCACACATGCCTCTGGCAAAGGGGAAAGACTGTTAGAGCACTAATCACACTGCACAGTAATCAATGCAACGGATTGACTGGCTGAGCAAACACAAATACGCCACTTATGTTTGCACAAAGGAAACCACACAATATCACAAAGCTGTAAACAAATATTTGCAAACGTACTGATGAGCTATTAATAGACCGCATGTAAACACACGGCAAAGTGGACACATTGGAACACCGTCAGAGTTGTCTGGGAGGACCCGGCCATGCTGAGGGATGCGCACGGACACCATCTATCTAGCTGGTGTTCAGTAAGTCTGCCGGTGTGACATCACCCGGTGAGCACTCAGTTTGTTTTTCACTTTTAATTCCTCAGGCAGCGAGGCATGTGTCACATCTTTGCATGTGTCCTCAGTCTGCCTGCCAAGCACCTGGTTCAGCCCAATTATGGAGATGAAAATGCCACTCCTCAGAGGACAATGATGAAAGAAAAATGACAGCGCTCTAGGCCACGGATCACCCACAAGGTGCTAAACACACAGCAAGAATTCTGCAGTTTCCAATGGCCGACTGCTCAGGCACAGTCTTGCTTTACACAGGCTCTGAATTTGCAAGTCTATTCTCTCCACCCGGCTGTGTGATGGAGGGGTCGAAACACGCTTTTGGTCAAAGCGAAGAGAAAATGGGCCAAGCCAGCCTAGTCCTACTATTCTTTTCTCTGCTTTCCTGGAAAACTGTCTGTGGCTGGACTAGATAAGCCAAGAACAGAGAGTGTGACCTGAAAAAGAAGTCCAGCTCACCACGCAGCCATAGACTTCATGGCTCCTTCACAGCCATGCTAGTCAGCAGCCTTTGAAGCCGAGCCTGCAACAGTCTCCCCTCTCTCCTTATCTTTCCACACACCCTCCCTGAGCCCGCCTGCCCTCTTCTCCTTGCATCTTCTGTACTCTGGTACCTCCTCCTCTCATCTCTCTGCTTCCTGCCCCCCCCCCTTCGCTCTCTACCTGTTTCATCTTTACTGTGGTGGCAGTGCTTGCGGGGGACTCTTCACTGCTTAGGGCTCATTAGGCACCGGAGCAAGAGAGAGGAAACAGATCTAAATTATCCTTTTCATTCTCTGACAGCTTCACCCCTCACTCATCTCAACTCTGGTTCTGAGCCTTTCATCTGCACGTACACAAGCACACACATGCACACACAGACGCACACCCGTTTCTTGCTCTGAGGTGCTCCATGATAGTTCTTTATGATCAAGCTTGAATGTCAACCAACTCTATGTTTTCTTTATTCTCCAGCTGACAGGGAAATAATACATGAGAATTATGACTCATGCTGATTTCTGTCTTTTCCCTCCACCCGCCTGCCATCCCGTTTTTTTTCTCTCTCTACATCTTCCTCCTAGCCTGACTTTCTCATTCCCTCTCTTCTGTCATTCTGTGTCATTCACTGTCTGTCACTGTCTCTGTGTGTGCCTTTGGTGTGCCCGGTGCCGGCGGGCACAGTCACGTAGCGGCGCCTGACATGAGGATGTGGCCGTGGCTGGCTGCACCCTGAAGAGCAACTAGAGAACACTACAAAGGCTGCTTGACAGCTGGGTGAGAGATCGTGTGCAGCCCCCCAGGCCCACACACCTCTGTCTTCAGTCACAGGCATTACACGCAAACTCATACGAGCCACTGTTCTGCTAACGGACATTCAGCCACTTGCGTGCACCTAGGACAGAGTACAGCAAAGTACCCTTTGATCATGACCAAGAGTGGAGCAGTGTTTTTCATATTGCTGAAGAATGAGGACACGGTATCTGTTTGAAGACTCTCTCCACGGGGGAAATTCACTGCTAGTATTTCACAAGATTGTGTCAAAAATAGTTGAGCACTCAAAGTACATACCCAAACCGAAACTAAGTACCCAAACTATTCCGCCATTTATTGTTCATAAAATGCTTTGTGTTGTAGCAAAGTGGTGCTCAGCCAGGCTTATCGTGTCATTTAACCTTAGACTTAAATGTTGGAGATTATGGAGGTTTGCTGAATAAAATGAGAGGAAAAACAATAGCATTTTCCAGATTGCAAGCACTAGCGACATGCAGGGTTTGGCCGATCCTGCTCGAAACGACATTTTCTCTGAACATTTAAGACACGGCCTGATTTCTAAGAGGCATTAAATTAAAACTAACACATTCCTTCAATGTGCAATGCAAGGTCACTTTTTCAATGATCAGGTTTTGCAGTTTGAAAATAATGAAAGAAAAGCCTAGGGAAAAATGGGTACCAGCCTTGATAGGAATTGTACTACTCTTTTATATTTTCTGCTTATAACTTAGGAAAAAGGCTTCAGTGGGACTTCATATTTCATGTGCTACCCTTTTAAGGCATTGTTGATGCTGGTTTCATTTTGATCATGTTTAATGGTGTTTACGCCAGAGGACTGTGTGGGGTAAGGTAAGATTTTCAATAAAACATCCTGTGTAGGTTCACTATAGATTGATTATATGCTCAGTAAAAGTTTATAATAAATCAATACAATGATCCTAAATTACTCTCTTGTTTGCTATCAAGAAATTAACAAGGAAAAAATGAGTCAGGGAAAGCTATGATGAAAACAGTGATTCACATTTATAACACCAGTTCAGTGCAGCCTAGTGAGGTACTCCTCACTATCTCTTTTGGGGGGGATACACAAAACAAAACACAACCAGCGTAACGTGAAGAATAAAAATGAATACAAGTGAAAGGAAAAAATAACTTTTTGGTTTGGGTAGGTTGGGCAGAAATAATTGGCTGTCAAGGAGAGTGAAGGCGCTGCTCTTTTTTAAAGCCACAAACGAGGAATAATACAAGGGCAGCGTGGGGGGGGGGGCAGCAGGAGAACTGGGTGGATACAGAAATGCTTTTTGCCTTTGTTTCCATTAAAGCTCAACAAGCAGGCCGGCAGTGGGTATATGGACCATAGCAAGACCAAGCTAACTAACAGAGGATGGAGGAAAAATAGAGAAGATTTATCCATTTGTGTTCACTCCCTGAGCAGTGAAATAAACAAATGACTTAAAGAAACTCTTATTTTTTTGTTTGGGTTCTAACGTGGTGGGTGTCTTTGAGTGTAAAGTCCATCGATAAACACAGCCGATGTTGGTAGTGTGGACATTTAGTTTGCATCTGTGAATAAATCCACTTATCACATCCTCAGCGGAAAAACACTTCCTGCACTGTCACTGACATAATGAATTTTTGAGGTGCCAAGCTGCAGGTTTTTACTCCGCTATAATCTGTTGGGGACAATGAAGCGGAGAGGCAACAGTCTGACAGCCACTGCGCAAAAAGATTCTTTTGTCAGCTTGCTGCAAAGACCCCTTGAGAAAGTAGATATAGAGGTGTGAAAAACAGCTAGCAGTAAACTGGAGAAATACCTTGGCAGCATTCTGATAGGTTTGCACAGACATACACACACAAATTCTGGTATGGCTATACAGCTCAGAAGACGACACAGGTGCATAATGCTCACACAAAATCCCCTTGTGCACGTAAAACACATAAGTACAAAAGCCCAAACACGCACACACACACGCACACTGCCTAATAAAAGTGCAGCAAAGGCTTAGCAATAAATAGGCTCTGAATTTCATATTCATGAATTCTCAAACTCTAAGCCTATCAGCTCAGGCAACAAAGGCAATCCTCTTCCCTACTTCCATTGACTCACTCACCTTCCTGCAGGTACATGACAGCTTGTGAGTAGTTTTGCAGCGCGTGGTGTGTTCTCCCCAAGCTGCCATAGGCCAGTGTCTTGGCCGCCAAATCATTAGTCTGAGCCGCCACACTGAGATGCTGTTCCTGGAACACCACCGCTCGTTCGTAGTTTCCTAATGACTCATAAGTAAGACCCAAGTTGCCGTAAGCTCGGGCTTGGCGTGCGGTGCTCCCGGCTTCTTCTGCAATCTCCAGATCACTTTGGTGGCATCGCAGGGCGGTCTCATATTCTCCCATAGCTTGATATACAGCGCCTAAACCACAGCTTGCATCACCCTCGAGTACTCTGTCCCGGGTCTCCCGTGCGATGGCCAGCTGACGCTCCAGACAGGATATGGCCTGCTCATAATTTCCCAGCTGACTGTGGAGCGCACCGAGCTCGCCATACGCCTGAGCCTTGCCTCCACACTCCCCTAGCTCATGTGCCACAACTAGTCGTTTCTCAAAACACACCAGAGCCTGCTGTAGATTTCCCATTGCCCTGCGGATGAAAAGAGGAAAACGCATAAGAGTTCATGCAAAGCACATCAGAGAAGTGAGACATTTCCATTTCAATTTTCTGCAAAAACTTGGCAGTACAGAAATATCTATTAAGCCTGCAATACTCAAAATTATTTCTTCATTTATGTCACTTAAATACCATTCTTGTTGCTCAAAAAGTTGATAATTACTGATATGCATAAAATAATGCATATGGAAACATTTACACATTACAGGAATCCTAATATGATTTACAGTAATCTAATGGATAATTCCTTCTTCATTTGGAACATTATTCACCTTAACAGAGTTTAAGCAGTCTTTATTTACATCCGCAGTCACACGGACAGTTGCTGGATGCTGGTTGGCGTGGTAGTATTACAGGAAAAAAGCATTTAGCTTAAATAATGTAATGTATAATGTTTTGACTGTGAGCTGTGTGAAGAAAAGACCAGTTTGTATGTGATGTGCATAATTACTTCCTGTATTCAGACATGGCTAAATACACCTGCATGTGATCGTTGTAGTTTCTTGCTGATGATGCACAGTATGAAGAAAACAGTCTCTGAAATGTGGATTTTGTCAAGTTTCTCGTATTTGTAGTCTCAAAGATTTCTATCATTTCTGTCAGGCGTAAGGATGACTGAGAGGAAAAAAGTAGTCTTGAAGAAGCTGTGTTGCCACCAGTTTCAGGCATCTGTTTGCCAAATTACTGTGCATACTGATAAGGAAGAGGGGCCAAAATGACTCAGCAAGCACCAGATTCCTCAGAAAAGTGTTTCTAAGTATGGAGTCCTTGATAGTATGAACAAAAAGAGACAAATTATATGCAAATAGGTTTGATTATAAGAAACACCTACGGAAACAGAATTTTCTTCAACAGCACTCATCAGGAAAATCTTTTTGTTTTGTTTGTTAGTATAACAAGAAATACTGATTTCTAAACAATTTCCAAACCTACCTGTGCCCACTGCCCAAGCCTCTATAGGCTTTCTCCTGGTCCTGCATGCGATTTAGACTTTGCGCCACTGATAAATACTGATCATAGTACTTTATGGCCTCCTCAAAGTCTCCAAGAGCCTCATAGCAGTCTCCCAGATTTCCATAAGCCCTTCCCCGGTCCATTACTGCCTCATTTCCACTGAGCTGCTGCAAAGTAGCCAACTGCTGCTCCAGGTACCCAATAGCCTCTTCCATCACTCCAACATTCATTTTTGTGATGCCCATGTTTCCATACACCTGAGCCTCCACAACGGGATCTTTCAACCTCCGGCCAAGCTCCAGCTGCTCCTCGTAGCTCTTGAAAGCCATGGCGTACTTCCCTAGGGCCATGTAGACAGCTGCTAGGTGGCCATGGGCTTTGCACTCCCCTCCCACATCACCCAGCTCTTGGTACACCTCTAGCTCCTGGGTGTGGTAGCCCAGGGCTTTGTCATACTTTTGCACAAGTCTATAGGTAGCCCCGAGGGCAGCATAAGCACACGCTTCCATCCTTCGTTCTTTAACCTAAAACAACAGCAAAGAAGAGGAACATCAGGTATACGAATAGTACTGTCCGTTTGTTAAATGATTATATTTGGTAAATGTAATTGCAGTGGCCTTACCTGATGAGCTAAGGCCAGCTGCTGCTCATAAAATTGAATGGCTCCGGCAACATCCTTTTTACACACAAATATGTCTCCCAAGTTTCCCAGGGCTCTGAAGCGAGCCTGAGCATTGTTTAGGGACTGGGCCAGTGACAACAAGTACTTCTGGCACTCCTCTGCCTTTGTAAAATCTCCTAGGGCCTTAAAAGCCAACCCAAGGTTACAGTATGCCTTGGCCTGACTCAGTTTGTCATGAAGGTCCTTGGCCAGAGCTAGGTCCTGCTCATAGTACTTTACTGCATCTTGGTAGTTTCCCAAGCAGTAGTGGGCATAGCCAAGATTATGACACACTTTACCTTCACTCTCCATGTCTTGGAGATCAGGGGACAATCGAAGATACTGCTCGTAGTAGGGCACAGCTTGAGGAAACTCTCCTCGTGAGCAGTGGAAGTTGCCCAAGTTGCCCAGGGCCCGTGCCTCACTTTGAACATCTCTGAGCTCACGAGCTATGTTGAGGTGGTTCTGGTAATGCTGTAGAGCACGGTCGTGGGCACCAAGCGCCTGGTAAGCCACAGCCAGATTACCATGGGTGGAGGCCTGTGAAGCACGGTCATTGACCTCCATAGAGATCTGCAGCTCCTGGCGGTGGTAGCGAACAGCCTGATCAAAGGCTCCAAGAGCATTGTAGGCATTACCCATGTTACCATAAGCCCGGCCCTGGGCAGCATAGTCATTCAGCTCCTGAGCAATGGCCAGGTGTGTTTTGTGGAGTTTCAGTGCGGTCTCATAGTCCCCCTTCATCTGGTGGATGATGCCTGTGGAGAGGGAAGAAGGAAAAAAAAGAGTATGAAGTTAAAGACCCACTCAAGGGAAAATTGAAAATGAGTAAGATCCAATTACCTTGTCAGCATTTTCAGTGAAAAACAAGTCATTTGGTTGTTAAATTTGCTCTTTGAGTCATCTGTTCTCTGCTTACAGAACATACTTGCCCACAGAATTGTGGTCTTTATAATGCAGTACATTCAAACAAAGGGACTACAACATCAAATTAGTGTCTTTTGATTGTTTTAACTGCCTTTGATTATGTTTTCCAATGAGTTTTACAAAATGTACCATATTTCCACGTGACAAGAAATAGCTATGTGAGAACAAGAGTGGAAGATGGAGGAAGTAAAAATTGGGAAAAGAGAAAGCCGTGGATGACAAACATACAAAACAACAAAAAAAAAAATTATGTGATATAAATATGGAGAAACTACAAATAATGGAGAATCCGCTGCATTGAGCATCTTAAATCTGATAAAATGCCATTTTCTGAAAAATAATATCTTCACTCCACAATCAGGCAGGGATCTCGCAAACACATATTTTGTCAGTATCCAAACAAATCTCTGCCCACACCTTTATGCTAATGCATACTGAATAACACACAGCAGAGAGTAAATAAGCATCTCTTCATATCTATCGTACATCTTCCTTCTAAGATTAATTGCTAATCGCTGACTCCTACTTCGAAATGTCATCTACTTTTTACTAACACTAACTACACAGATAATATAGACAGAGTAACTAAAAAAACCCACATTTTTATCCGTCATACAGACTGATTATGATTGTATTGCTGCATCAGTGTGGACTAATGGCCGGGAAGGAAGTGAGAAACAGCCACTGATGAGACACAAGGGATGAAAACAGTTCAGGAGTCGGAGTGGAAGAGAAAAGGGGTCGAGAGGAACTCTGCGGCTTGCGGTGAGCATTTGATGGTGAGGTTGGGATTTGTTACCACCGTGTGTGTTTTCCCATTTATTTAATCCAAAACCCACCACATTTTGGGCCTGAACACAAACTACATAAACAGCAGAAACTAAATAAAAAACACAGCCTTAGACGGCTGTAGATTTTGCATGTGAATATAGTGATGCTTTTTCATGCTGGCTAAATTTGAATGCTCTACATTACAGCCAACAATAAAAGAACTGTAGAGACTGTAGTGTTAACCGGACCACGAGTTAGAATACAGCACAAATATACCGACCAATCATCCCACATCTGTTGCACCATTTTCTCTGAGAACACCGGGCTTACATTAGTGTTTTATGGTAAAACATAAACAGCCTCCAGGGACTCTGAAATCATCAGATCACAGCAGATCTAAGGAATTGATACGCTAGTGTAAAACACAGAGCAAAGCAAACTGACAAAGGTGCACGGTTTGCAAAACACATAATGAATCATTTCACGATGAGTCAGATCCATCTTGCAGATGTTATTGAGGACAGATGAACATTTTCTTGATCTGAGACAAACTCCCCTGCATCACCTATTTTTAGAGGCATGAGGCATGTTCAGATTTGCAGCAGGCTGGGAGAACAAGCACTGACAGCCACAAAGTCATTCCCAAGGTTATGCTTTCCCCAATGGATGTCGATGTCACAGAGGATATTATGCCTCCTAATGTATTACTAGCAAACTTGTTCCAAGGTACAGGCTAAAAATGGATCTTTTCCTAGTGATGGAAGGAGGGGTAAATGAGACAGTGTGGACACAGGCAGGGTGAGCACAACCAGGTTTCCGATTGGAGAATGGAAGATGCCAAAACTGCCAAAAGCCTTAGGCTATGCCTTTAGTAACACTTTAAACAAGGGGATTTTGGTGACCCCCCTCATTTGGTGGGAGATTATGAAGCCTTGTGGGAAATAGTTTTCTGAACAGTTAGGAAACGCCATCAAACGCATATCTGTCAGTAGTCCTGCCATTTATAATTCTCAACCGAAAGGAATGGGAGGTCTGGTTGCTGTCGTCATAGTGGCATGCTATCCGAAAATGAGCAAAGGATCTGCCTTTTAAATAACTTAATCGATTTGACTTCATTTCAGATGTGTATTACAAGTGTACATTTCGGGAAATAAGTGATACAACACAATTTTTCGTCTTTTTTACACTGCTTTCAAAGAAGACAACCCAACATTTCAATACTTTTATAGGGAGGCCTATCCATCCCCCCATGACCAAAGACATTAAATCCATGACAGTGTGTTGTCACTTTTCATTATATAGCTGCCTGTTCACAGAGGGATATCCTGCACTGATGACTTTGAGGGATGGTGCCATGTTCATAGTAAATCACTGTGTCATTCTTTGAGGAGTGAGGAAGGTCTAGAGCCCCCCTGGCTTCTGTAAGCAAAGAAGATTTTACTGACAATAGTGCTAGAGCAGCTGGAGGTGATTCTAAGAATATCGCAGAAATGAGCAACCACGGCCAAAAGAAAAGGTCTAGGTCTGTTCTTTACATGTTGTCATAACTAGTTTACAATTTCTGGTGGAGGAAGTAGTACAACTGAAAAACACAGCTCTAACATTGCTAACAAAAACGGCACGAAAACAACAGAATATATGCTGCCTCTAAAGATGATAGCAGGAAGACTGCATCATAATACAAAAATTAAAGGAAGACATCAAATCAAGGCACAAAAATGTGTTGAAAGACAATATTACTGCATCATTTTACATGCATGAGTTGAATCTTGGAGCAAAAAAACACAGTATTTCATGATCTGCTAGACGAAGCAGTGAGAGTAAGCTGAAGCAGCTGACATCAGATCCTCCTGGGGTCTGCAGATATGGGCAAAACTGGAAGGGTCTGTGCTTAAGGTACCAAATCCTCACTTGCAGACGCAGACATCATCTGCAGTCTGACTGACAGAGAGACAGGAAGGAGGAAGATAAAAAAGGACAGGGCATGGATAAATGGATGAATGCTTAGTGGGTGGTCTGCCAACAAAAACAATGTTAAGTTCTCTGGCTGATCTGCTTTACCCTCTGCTCCTACTGACCCTCAACTTTCATTAAGCTCAATAATCTAGCAGTCTGTACAGACCACAAACACCACATCTGATTCCCCCTACTGCTTAAACAACACTGTTCAGCCTTGACTTTCTGTTCCACTGCACCATCTTGTGTCTGCTAAAGAGCAGATTGTATTTCATGCTGAATTTGCAGATGTGGTGGAAAAAGGGCACAGTTGCAAAGTGCACAAGTATGCAACAGTGCTTTTGTTTTATTTAATAGCACTGCAGTGAGTGGAATAATAGTTGCATACAGGAAGATGCATCTTTGTGCAGACAAGGGGCAAGAGTGTGTTTCATCTGTCTCTGTCCCCAACTAAGAGATGAAAGGGGCCATGAGAGGGGACGCATGGAGCGCCTGCTGCAGTTCCAACAATCAAAAATGTAAAAAACTCCAATAGCATGAAACAATATTTCCAACAAAGATATAAAGGGCCGGTATTCTTTCAATTTCACAGCTACTTCACCCTCCTACCAGCTACTGCTCCACTCGCCTTTTATTTTCATTTTAGCTGGTTTGCATTTACTATCCCAATTTCAAGATTCAGGACATTGTGTAAAATATAGATAAAAACATAATGTAAGGATTTACAACAGAACACAGAATTAATGTTCATTGTTGAAGGGAAAATTTCTACTGTTTGCAACAACACGGGAAATGATGTCATGTTCTCTACTGCGTGTCGTCATCTTTTATAAGCAAATGGGAATTGAGTTTCTGGACATTTTTATGAGAAACTTGTACCGTTCTTGTGTGATATGAAATATGAAATATTTTAAATTAAACAGTCAAATGTCAAACGTCTAACTATGTGTCTTCTATCATTTCTATTGTCGTTAACAGAGACTCTGCACTTGTGAATCTTTTAAGGTCTTTTAGCGTCTGTCACAGCATTCCTTATTTCTTTTAGTTAAAGGACTTAAGCTTTCTAAATGAGTCTTTAAACTCAGACCTCTCATGCTCTCTTTCCTGGTCAGCTTCTTATTATATCTATATATTATATCTATGCACAGCGTTTCCTGAGACTTAAGAACCATACAGAATAATCTCTATGCTTAAGGGCACTGAGGCTGCCTGCTCTTTTTCTGTAGCTTGGTTCAGCTGTGGGCACTAAAAAAAGTAATGCAATCATGTCACCACACTGTGACGATAACTAAAAACACGGACTGATAAGAAGTAATTGTTCCTTTTGATGATATGTATATTCCTATGTATCCAATTAATTCCAAAACTACTTCAGTATTGCAATTAATTTAATAAGCAGATGTTGGAGAGCCTTCGGTCATAGCGATATTCATTTAAATCTAAATGGAAAATCATAAATGTTATAGCTTAGTTCTCTTAAAGGTACATTGTTAGAAACTGACAATTTTGACAAGGAAAAAGTATCCAGTGAGAGCATCTTTTTTCAGCTCTCATGACTTGCGAAAAGTGTTTAATTGTGAAATTAATTTATTATCAGAGGTCATGAACTCACAATATGCATTATAGTTTATGTTCTGTTCTTTTGATAGCAGAAGCAGAGCATCTCAGCACACACTGACTCTGCACTCGTTTGTAACCCTTTTTCTCAGTTGTTTTCCTCTTTTTGTTGTTTTTGTGAACATCAGCATCCTGCATCCCTAAGGGATGCTGGATAAAAGAAGGGCAAGCTTTGAAAAAAAAGAAAAAAGAAAGAAAGGGAAAAAAGAAAGGGAAAAAAAGCTTAATTAGGACTTCTTCCTCCAACCCCTTCCAGCTGATGGAGTCAACCTTTCAAGTGACTTCTTTGAGACATTTGGTCAAACAAGGAACTGTTAACAAGAAATGGGAACACAAAAAAAGGCAAAGCAACAAGAGAAACCCTTCCTAACTAACTTAGTTAGTCTCTTTGATGTGAAATGCAAAGGGAAATAATACCATTTAGATTCTGTCTTGTGACTATATGGGAACCAACACGCTTCTCTGAGATATTAAATATTGCTGACTAGGGGGTAAGTTTGCCAATTAATGAATAATAAATGTGGCTGGAATGCAACATTTTCATATCCTTTATAGGTCAGAGTGAACTGAGCACAGGGCTTCTAGTACCGCTGGGCATCATGGTTATATATTAAAGCATAGCAATCTCAAAACAACAGTACCTAGCAGCCATGTCAGCTGCTCGACCCACACTACACGCAGCATAACGACTAGCTGAGAGGGCATAATAAAATCTTCTCTTTCCTGTTTCTGAAACTTCTCTTTCCCATCTCTGATACAATGTTTCCTGCCTTTAACATTGCTCATTAATCTCACTACATTTTTCTGCACAGCATAAAAGCAGGACTTTTTTTTTTTCGTTTTTTAACTTTTTTTTATGTCAGACAATGTTCTGTTCATTTAAGCCCATATCTTTATGCTAAGCTAGGCCTGGGGGCGCAGGCGATGGAAAAACACAGTACGCCCTCCTGCTGCAAACAAAAACAACAACAATGGGGCAATTACAGAATGGTACTTCACAACCCCTACTTCATTCTCTGTTATCTTCATTATTCTGCTCCTCTTGAATCAGCTATTAAAGGTAATTAAGCGATTCATCAAGTCACTTTCAATTACTGTGAGCTTGACAGCTGCAGATTACAATCAGTGGGGGTGAGGAGGAAGACGGAAAGACTGTGAGAAGGAAGCTTGAAAAGTAGAAGATTGTGAAAACAGACATAAAGAGCTAACAGTTCAGGAAGCACTGAGGAGTGAAACACCGTCCAAGTGGTGTTGGGTATTGCTGTGTCCACATAAAGGTCCAGGTTGTCTCAGAATTAAATGGCCCTACCCGAGCATTCTGCATGTGAGGTCTTTCATAATATATCAGCTATGCAATCATTATTCTGTCATGACTGGAAAAATTGTAATATCACACTCCATGATGAATTAAAGTGCTCTCACTGCAATCATGCTACATACAGTGTGGAAATACATGTGTTGCCTGACTTGCCCATTTCAAATAAAACTTGTGTTCCAAAGAATCATAAAATGTTCTCACCAGAGCCACTAATTTATAACAACCAGTTACCAGTTCTGTGTTACTGTGTGTGCGCTCTGTGTCTAAGAGCAACCCAGGATGTACAGCCATTAGGCTGGTCAAAGGACAACCTCAATTTATGTTTGCCCGATTGACCCTACACTCCGCTTTCACAATTGTGCACATTAGGTTAAAGAATAATTCATTTTAAAGGAACTCTTATGCCTCTTAGTTGTCCATTAGAGAGTGGTTTACCACTATCCAGATGGTTATAAGTCATCAAGTGTAGGTTGTAATTGCTTGACTAAAACTGCTTATATTAAGGACACTTATTCCCTGCACCTCCTTCCAATATTTTACGAACGAATTCTTAATCATACAAAAATCGAACACAGAGTGTAGTTTTAGATATAATTAGATTCAAACCAGTGTGGATGTTAGAGAACAACACATCAATGTCAAGAGATTTCACCATTAAAAAATTATACATTTTAATATTCTGACTGTCTGTATTATATCTCAGTAATCCCTTGCAATATTTCTGTTTTTCTCAAGTTTTCATCACTAGACGTAATTCTCAAAGGAATGTTTACTGTACAACTATGTAACCATAATATACTCCCAAAAACAGTATTAGATACAAAAAGATGAAGTTTGCCATTCATGGATAAGATACTGAAAGTAGAAAAAACATCAAGGTTTCATTAAACCTAAATATGACTGATTTATCATACAGCAGATTTACATAAAGGAAAAGGAATGCAGTTAAGGGAAAACTGAAACAGCTGCAGGATATGGATACTCTTGAGATGTAAACCAAAACAGGAAAGAGCTAGCTGACTTTAGATATGGAGCATCATTAACTTAATGCTATATACAGAGGAGTTTAAACAGTGGCATTCGGTCAGTTTCAACTCTTAACCTTACACGTAAACTATCGTCCTGTTCAGTTAGACTTTTGTTTTATACCACTCCATCTCTAAGTCCATGTTAATGGTTGCACATTATTTAAAGGAATTTTCCATTTTGCTGTGAAGGGACAGCATCACTACATGGGATAAAGGCATCTCAAGCAACATCGTGCACCACATCTTAACAGACAAGACAAAGCTAGATTACTAGTATTAATAGTATTTTGATTAAATTTCAAATGACATATCTTCCCTTTGCACAAATTTCTTTCCTTACGGATGAGATACATTTTATTGGTGTCCGTAGATTGCTGTGAATGTGCTGTGATGGTCATCTCTTTGCAATAAACTGCGGAGAACTGGTGCAGCATGAACCCTGCTTTTCACCTATGTTAGTTAAGATGGTACCAAATTACTTTGTCCTTTTTGGAAAAAATTATACCATTACCCCTTATATGCTACATACTATTTGTTACGATATAGAAAATCTGTCCTCAGAATACGATGAAGAATTTGGTATGCATAATAACTTCACAACCATCATATTTCAGAAGCAGTTTGCTTACATACCCAAATTGGAGGAGGCCCTTCCCTCTGCAGCCCTGTCCTTCAGTCCTTCAGCTATAGACAGCTGCTGTTCATGGTACTGCTTGGCCCTCTCCAAGTCCTGCATGCAGCGGGCAGCATGTCCCAGCCCCGCATAGGCTCTCATCTCAATGGACTTTTCCTCTAGCTCCTGGGCAAGCTCCAGAACGTGAGTGTGGTAGGACATGGCCTTGTCAAAGTTGCGGTGGTAGTGGTAGGCACTGCCCAGGTTACTGTATGCTCGGGCTTCTTCTCTTTTATTTTCCAGGGCCTTGGCAATTCCCAAATGTTGCTCATGACATTGCACAGCATTATCAAAGTCTCCCATGGCAATGTAGACTGCCCCCATGTTTCCCAGCTCTCGAGCCTCGGACAGCTGATCTTTGGACTGTTTGGCCAACAGGACACACTGCTTGTGGCTGGCAAGGGCGTTTGGATAGTCGCCAATGGCTGTATACACATGGCCCAAACTGCTCAGTGCCATCGAAGCAGCCTGCAGAAAGACAGACAGACAGAAAAGCAAACAACAAGTAAGAAAAACAGCAAGGTTATAAACTCCAGGCAAATAAAATGAAATCTCATGTAGCCCATTAATTATATATGCATTGCATCAACAGTGAGCAATTTTCCTGGCTCTACATCACAGATTCCCAATCCTTACTAAAATGTCCTTTCCACCAAAAAAAAAACTGTGCATCAAATGAAAAAAGGCAAAGAAAACTACAAACAAAATCCTAGTCTCATGGGAGGTTTAATGCTCAGAGACCAAGCAACAAACAAAACCTTGATTTGATTTTGTCAATGCTGAGCAAAGAGGGGGGTAAAGTGTGATGCAGATCCGCACAGCAGCAAGCTTGTTTTAAAGCAGGCCGTTTGCCCACTGCAATCACGCCTCATGGAGTGCCACCATCAATGGAACAAAGACTGTGCTAATCAGGAGGGAGAGAAGTGAGTTTTTAGCATCACACCAGAACTGTGGGGCACCAGACTGCTTACACACTGAAAACACAGAACAATATTCTTTGTGTTGTCATCCACTCAGTCTTCCATTTTCACATCCAGTGTCCATCTGTGAAAATAAAGCCACTAAGAGCATTTACACATTGTGGAAATCAAAAGCGGAAATATTGATATAGAAAGATTACAAAATGCAGCGTTGACCTATTATGCGCCACATCCACTGCAGGCTTAGTAGCTGTTTATACAGAGGATAAGCAGTGGGGGACTGGGGTCAGTTGTCTTGCATGAACAGATGTTCAATTAATCATGCAGGGGGAACTAATAAAGCATATCCTTCCTAAGGTCCTACTCTGCATCGTCCAGCCAGGAAGGGGTTTGGATGGAGGCCAACAGAAAGGACAGACACTGACAGTGAAGGCCACAGAACAACCCTTCCAGTCTGGCGTTGAGAGTGTGGAAAGTCAGAAGTCAGCAATGATGTGGGAAGAAATTCTGCAGCTTCAAGACATTTATGAAATGACTTTTCATAGCCACGCAGTCTAAAACTTTCCACTGTTACTTGCATTAAACTATAGAGGAGGTATCAACTCCATCATCTTGAACTTGGCTTTTATTCCACTTTCCTTTTGTTCTAGCAACAGTTTGTAAAACGTATTGAACCCTAAGAACATTGTTGAGGAAAAAATCCTTACGTTTGGACATGTCTTTCTACAGGCTAACAAAGAGATTCTCTGTGAATCTTTCACACATCTTTTTTCTTAATGTACAAATACACACAAACATATCTTTCCATCATTTCTCATAGCTGCTGATGCCTGGAACCAATTACCTGCTGACATAAGGACTTCCAGCAGTTTGCTCAAGTTTAAAGACTCGACAAGGCATTATACGAGCCAGGGGAGGCAATTACCCTCCGTCACAACTGTTGCTGTTTCATGTTCCCAGATAGCCTATCTAGAGCTGCTCAATTACATGTGCCTTTTGAAGCTTCGCTCCATCTCTCTGACTCCAACTTGCACTTTTCTCAGCAGAAAACAGAGAGGAATCCTCATCTCTGTCTGTCTTCAACCAAGCGCGCTGGGACACAGTGGAGGGAACACGAGAGGGAGGCTGCAATCTTTCTTCGGTTCAGATGAGTTGTTCTTGTGATCAGTGTCCCTCTAAAGTAAGACTGCAACTCTGCATTTTTTTCCTCAAATGGGAGCCAAGAGCAGATAATGAGGAGCCAGTCTTGCCAGTAACAGAGGATGCACTGTTTGGCTCATGAAAAGACGCTGGGACCATATGTGTGTCTCTTCCTCCCTTCTCACTAAACTCCTCCCCTCATCCAGCACATATCGCCAAACAGCATTTTGTCAGGAGGAGAAATAATTTCCCAAAATGTATACTTTCTGCCAAATTCACTTAATTCTAATTTCACTCTATTTCATTTATGTACTTATCTGTACTCAGTCCTCATTCATCCCCACCTCCATCACACATGCACACACACACACACGCCTCAGTTGGCCTGCACAGTAAGATCTGCCTGTGTTTACAGAGTCAAAGCCCCTCTCCCGGTGCATGCTCATTCGATTAATCCTAACAATGTCTGTGAAACACTGTTGGTAAACTGCTGGCTGTTATCAGCAAACACATTTTGCACCAAGGGTCTCTTAATAAAAGGTAAACTGGTGCTGGGTAGGAGGGTGAAAATGAGGCAAAGAGGAGGGGAGTGGAAATCACGTGTTAATCAAACATGCTCGGCTCCAACAAACGGTTTTCTATTTTATTTTATTTTTGTGACAACAACATTAGTCCAGGATTCCTTGGTGATTCTCCTCTGACAGCCTGAACAAAGTATGCTTTATTCTGTAGTGCATTACAGAAAATGCTGCTTTCACAACACACGCTAGAGGTAATACATTATACTTAGTATAATTAGCCCCCTATGTCATACAGCAGGGCTCCTCCTGATGCTGGGGCTTGTTGGTTCTGTGTGAGCTTGGTGACTCTGAGCCCCTGGTGTGTGTTTTTTTTCTTGCCCTGGAACAAAGAGGTGCTGCCCACAACTTCACTGTTATCTTGAGCTATGTAGTTATGCCTTGCCTTGCAGCTGTGTGACTATGTCTTTGAAAAGCCTCCTTATTTCACTGTGGACCTACGGGGTGTGATGCACTCCAGACAACCAAAGCTATCATCACAGACAGGCTCTTCTGATGGGACAGCTCTGGGTGTTATGGAGATCTTAGTGGGAGGATTGGCTGAACTTGTAGAAGAGGCTATGTTGAAAACAGCTCCAGGAATGGGTGTGGAATCTTAATGAGGACAAGCAGGCAAAGAAACCCACTGTCAGTAATAAAAACAAGCACTGCCACTGCTCTGACAGCAACCACACATTAGATTCCTGCTAGTAGGATCTACTATGAACTAACCTAAAAAAATAAAAGGTTTTTATTGGATTAGTCGATTCAACTTCACTTTAGACTCTAAGATGCCTGGTGTCTAAATGTGCTTACATAAATAGTATTAACGATATGAAAAAGCATGTGCACAAACTGAAGGAAAACTGAAGGAGATTAACTGAAGAAAAAAAAAGGATCAGTTTTGCTGATGACACGATAAATGAGAGACAACAGATGAAGAGAACGTGTGAGGATTGGGAGATGTAAGGCGTTAAAAAGCCCACAGTGTGCCCTCTGTTAGAACAGCATGCTGCACAAAAGCAGGGCAGCCCCCACTTCAGTAAAGTGCTGTTAACGGGATTATATGGACGAGGAGAGAAGTTGCTCTCTTACAGAAAGACAAGATGGACAGCAAGTTTGATTCCATTACCAGAAATTTGGGAACGACCTCACTGTTCTCTGTACCCAGATAGATGCTAAGCTTTCAGGATGAGATGTCAAAATGACCTCTGCAAACATCAATATTTAACTTAAAATGAACAGTGGGATTATATGTGTAATAATTTAGACTGTTCTGAAAATCAAAAATAACATTAAATGAACAAACACCATCATATTCCCATTTCTCAGACTCTTTTCTACATGAAATACACAAGGACTTTATCAATATCCATTTGAGTATAATTAAATCTGGACAGCCAGTAAAAACTTAATGAGAACTGTGTCCAGTCGTGCATCTCTGTGGAAACCTGTAAATGGCTATAAAACTCTCCATCCAACTAAACAAAGCTTTGGTTGATATTTTGCTAGAACAAAGGCAGCACATCAACTTTGTATGAAATGACCTCAGTCAAAAATGATCAAAAACTTGATTTGGCTTTATCATTATGAGTAATTGTATGGACGATTAAAAAAAGAACTGGAACCGTATAAGGACATCTCGAAAACATAACAAAACAGGAAACCTCTTCGCAATAGTCTTAAATCTGAATTTATATAATGATCACAACATTGTATAAAGTTATATGTCTATAACAAGTTTCCAGAACACAAACAGTCAAAGTATCAAAGTAAACAGTTTGTTCTGACAGACCGCTGACAACACCAATAAATAATGAATAGAGCTAAACTAGAATAAAGCTAAACTACTTTCACTTATTTGTGTTTTAGTCTGCACTTTTAAATGCATTGGTTAACCATAAAAGGAAGAAAAACATTGTGATACCAATCACTTCAAAAGGTTAGCTGCTTTGACTAAAAATGCTCTTTTGAAACACGTATACACACGCACACACACTCACACACAATGTATTCCATTGTAAACACATGCACACAAGAACAGTGCTCTAATTAAAAAGCATTGCAGAGGGAAGGTGAGGAGGACCATGCACCACTGTCTCTTTTAACGAGATGAGCTCAGGCCGCAACAGGGACTTGCTGGCTGGCTGGAAGAGAACAGAAAACCCCACTCTGCTGGGAGAGGGCTGTGTGGGTGGAGCAGTTGGGGAGGGGAATAAAAGGCTACAGAAAAAAATGGCATTGAAGATGAGAGATGAGAGGAGTGGAGACACCCCAAAAGCGCGATTGTCTTTAGATCTGTATTCACCTGCAGGAATTTGACCAAAATCATATTTATACCAACATGACAATAGATTAGTAGAACATATAATAGAAAACTAGAAAGATCTTCCCTAATTTGCATGTTTCTTGTTAGCATGAGCAACCAAACGTATATGTGCATATCTGAAAGAATGGCAAAGAAAAGAGGGAGTTTGCAAGGGGCACTTAGAGGATGTCTGCATGGAGGGTGGGGGCGGGGACAGATATGATAAAATATCCGTCTGGTTTTATGGGTGTATTCTTCATTCGCTGTCCTTGCTCAGTGTTTGCACAGAGATATGGATCCCATGGGAGCCACCATTAGCTCAGCCAAATGACCGTCTCTCTGCCATATCAAAACCTTCTGCTTTTTTTAGATGGCAAATGCTGTGTTCCACCATGCGAGGGCAGGTACAGCTGTGCATGATTACTCTCCCCCGTATGCACTTGTATGAAAACATGCGCAAACGGCTTTGTTTCTATTGTTCCAGGAGACGTTACGTTGACTTCCACTCGTACATGCAATGAACTGACACATTAATGACATAGT